GGGTCCCTACTCCTCTCAGTGGCAGACAGCCATGGACGCAGAGATGGCTTCTTGGAAGTCCACAGGCACCTACGTCGACGAGGTTCCCCCACCTGGGGCGAACATCGTCAGTGGCATGTGGATTTTCAGGGTGAAGCGGCCACCGGGTTCTCCTCCTGTCTTCAAGGCGCGCTACGTGGCTCGAGGCTTCAGTCAGCGAGAGGGAGTTGACTTCTTTCAGACCTTCTCCCCCACCCCGAAGATGACCACTCTTCGGGTGCTGCTGCACATAGCCGCTCAGCGCGACTACGAGCTTCACTCACTTGACTTCAGCACTGCTTTCTTGCAGGGCAGCCTGCACGAGGAGATCTGGCTGCGCCGCCCTCCTGGCTTCACTGGGTCGGTTCCTCCTGGTACCCAGTGGAGGCTTCAGCGGCCGGTCTACGGTCTCCGCCAGGCACCGCGTGAGTGGCACGACACACTGAGGACGACACTTGCGGCTCTTGGGTTCGCTCCCTCTACTGCTGACCCGTCACTGTTTCTACGCACAGACACCTCACTGCTGCCGTTCTACATCCTCGTGTACGTCGACGATTTGGTCTTTGCCACTGCTGACACCGCGGCACTCGCCCACGTGAAGTCGGAGCTGCAGAGGAGACACACGTGCACAGACCTAGGTGAACTGACAAGCTATCTTGGCTTGCGGATCACCCGGGACAGAGCACGGCGCACCATCACCTTGACTCAGTCACACATGGTGCAGCAGATCCTTCAGCGCTTCCGCTTCACGTACTCCTCGCCTCAGTCCACTCCTCTGCCTACCGGTCACTCGCTCTCAGCTCTGCCTTCGGATGAGTCCGTAGAGCCGAGTGGCCCGTATCCAGAGCTTGTGGGCTGCCTCATGTACCTGATGACCTGCACTCGACCTGACCTTGCATACCCTCTTAGCATCCTTGCACGCTATGTCGCTCCTGGCCGTCACAGGAAGGAGCACATAGATGCCGCTAAGAGGGTGTTGCGCTACTTGTGCAGTACGTCGGGCATGGGGCTTGTGCTTGGAGGGCGAGACCGAGTTGTACTTACTGGACACTCAGACGCTTCTTGGGCGGACGACCAGGCTACTCAGCGGTCGTCTCAGGGTTACACCTTCAGCCTTGGCTCCGGCTCAGTTTCTTGGCGTTCTACACGCTCTTCTTCTGTTCTCAGCTCCAGTTGTGAGGCTGAGATCTACGCCACAGCCATGGCTGCCCAGGAGCTACGCTGGCTGACCTACCTGCTGACCGACTTGGGAGAGCGGCCTCGTTCTCCTCCAGTGCTGTACGTCGACAACCAGGCTGCCATTGCCTTGTGTGAGGAGCACAGACTGGAGCACAGAACGAAGCACATCGCCCTGCGGTACTTCCTTGCTCGAGAGCTGCAGCAGCGTGGTCAGCTTCGTCTGCGTTACGTGGCCACTGAGGCCAACCTTGCTGATGTGTTCACCAAGGCGCTTCAGCCTTGTGACCATCAGCGTTTCTGTACTCTTCTAGGCCTTGTGCCTGCTGGACCTCACTTACTTACTTCTTGACTCTGCTTGTACTGTGATCTTTATATATATGCCTGCATGTTTACACTTGCTAGGTTGTGATCACTGTATCTCTTGCTATATTATCAACCTGCATGTGAACTGGTCTTGTGACCACTTGCTTGTGCTCGGAATTTGTGTGGTATCCTTGAGATCCACCCTGAGCTTGTTTTGCTTTGCTTTGACTGGTCTTGTGACCCCTTGCTCTCCCCCACTTTGCCTATGGGGGTGTGTCAAACATTATATATGTTGTGTTTGTTTAGGCTACAATGAGTTAGCCTATAGGGGGTACACAATTCTAGGGTTAGGTACTTGTACTGATTTCACTGCTAGTTCAATCATTCCTGTCTGTTGATTTCGACAGACTGGGCCTTCTGCACGCGCATGGGTTTCCACGCCCATCACTAATGGTTCTGTCCGGTCCCGCGGGGCTTGCACTGTTGCCTGGATTTCCGGATGATTCGTGCTGGGGAATGGTGTTGACGGCGCGACTGGAGGCGTCGTGACAGCCCCGGGCGCGTGCAGCATGGGGTCTGGTTGAACGCCTATGTACCCGTATCTGAATCCCACATTCCCATACTGCGGCCCTACGAAGCCACGCACGGGCATCCCAAAGAGCTGGCTTGAGGGAATGGACGCGGACGCGGTGTGTTCATCAATCTGTTGCCCGGGATGCGGCGTGGATATTCCACGCGAGTTCAAATCATCCTGCTGGGCATGAAACGCGACCGTCGACGATGCAAACGGTATCTGTGTCCGCGGTGCTAGGTGGAGCCCGTTGACCAGTTGCTGTGGATGGAACGCGGGCAAACGCGTCCCAAAAACCGCATGCTGCACGTATGGGGTGCTCCATGTGGGGATGTGCGCGTGCATGTTATGTACGGGTGCGCTGGGTGGTTCGGCAGGATGGATTTGGGCCGCGGTAGTGTTGCCCGAAGCATTGAAGGAGGCGTCAAGTATTGGCGCCGCGACGCGATTCACGGTATGCATGCAGCGGGCGAAATTGCCCCTACTCCTATTTACTGCGTGCGTCAACATCATGCGCGATCTCTACAGGGACAACCGGGTGTGAAGATTACACCTGTACAACGCGACCGTTGTGCTCACTGACACTCGAACGCGGCCCACGTTGTTAACGCGGCCGTAGTCTGGTGAATCCAGTGTGGCATTAGAGGGAGGTGCTTGTTGTGCAACTGGCGTGCGGAAAGCGAAAATGTGGGCCTGATGGGAGTAATGACCGGTCATTGCGTGGACGTGCACGACACGTTACCCCGATCGCGTCTCGACCACACAGTGACAGCTGTGTGGCTCGTACAATTTGATGCACGTGTCAGCCTGCATGGAGCCTACCAGATCGCGCCAGGTGTTTCCGAACCGGGTTCCGCATCGCGCTTTCCAAGCCTTTCCATGGGCGAACCGAGTTCGCGATATGATGCGAGACTTCGCAACCAGTGGTAGCGCTCCTTGTTTCCGCGATCGCGCAGTTGCATGAGAGGAATTCCCCGCCTGCCAATGTTACCGACCAATCGCGTTGGGTTTTTCCCGTGTCGCGCATGCATTGGCGCGTAAGAACGAGGTGGGTTCTTTCGGTTTTTGGGGGGTCGCGGAGCTCTCGGTGGAAACCTGGTGGGTTTCACTGAGCCACGCAGGGCCGCGCAAGGTACAAAACTGGTGGATTTCTGGAGGGCCGACTTTGCCTCACGCGTCCCCCGATGTCTCCGCGCCCCGTGCATCCCAAGGCGTGGGCGGGGTTTTTCCCGAGCCGCGCCGTATGAACATCCCAGAACGATACCAATGCTTGCGATATTGCTCGCGCTCGATGTGAAAGGGAGCCCGAACTCCCAGCCATTAAAAAATCTTGAACTAGATTTTGCCAAAATCCATGTTACTGTACCACCTTGTGCACAACAGTCCTTCTCGATCGAGTGGGATAGGTAATCTGAGATTGTCGGCACTGTTCACACTCTGTACTGTACAGTGATCTTGAAAACATTTTGGTACGATTCGACAAGCATATTACGGGTCATAGTACTTCCCAAACTGTCTTCATTGGACCGAACACATCTTCGCGATGTCATCAGCGGACTATTAGTAGATGTGTAGTGTCTAGTAAGGAGTTAGATGTGGACTATTAGGATATGTGTAGTGTCTACTACGGAGGTAGATGCGGACTATTAGTAGACTCGGTACGGAGACCGCCAATCAAGCAAACCTCGTGTTGCTGCGTAACCTAGTCGTGCGCACGACTAAGCTCAAATGCGAGCTTGTCTAAGAACCTTATCGAAACGCTTTTCGGGCTATTATAAAGCGTTCCTTGCCTGCTTCCCGAAGCCCACAACGTCCTTGCTTGCTTAGTCAGATATCGCACGCCCTCGCTGCCAGGGGCGCTATTCCTTTCCGCCTCTCACTCGCTGCGTTGCAATATGTTCTCTGCGCCTCCCACAGTTAGGCTCGTCGCCCACAGTTAGGCTCGTCGCCCACAGTTAGACTCGTCGCCCTCAGTAGGCTCGTCGCCCACAGTTAGGCTCGTCGCCCACAGTTAGGCTCGTCGCCCACAGTTAGGCTCGTCGCCCACAGTTAGGCTCGTCGCCCACAGTAGACTCGTCGCCCACAGTTAGGCTCGTCGCCCACAGTTAGACTCGTCGCCCACAGTTAGGCTCGTCGCCCACAGTTAGGCTCGTCGCCCACAGTTAGACTCGTCGCCCACAGTTAGCGTCGCCCACAGTTAGACTCGTCGCCCACAGTTAGGCTCGTCGCCCACAGTTAGACTCGTCGCCCACAGTTAGGCTCGTCGCCCACGCTTCCCCTCGTTAGAATTCGGGCAGTTAGATTTCGGGCACGCTACGCGTCCCACTCGCACGCGTCACGCTCGCGGCTTTCCTTCCCGTCGCGTGACTGACGCTGCTCGTCGCTCGCGCCGTTCCCAGCGCGTCGCCCCGGCCTCGCTTCCCCTACTCGTCGTTCGCGGCGCTTGCTCTGCTCGTCGCCCCCAACTCTCACCCTCTCATCGCTATCCCCGTCGCGGCCCTCGCTTTCCCTGCTCGTCCTTCACACTCGCCCTCCCATCTCGCTTTCCCTGCTCGTCCTTCACACTCGCCCTCCCATCTCGCTTTCCCTGCTCGTCCTTCACACTCGCCCTCCCATCTCGCTTTCCCTGCTCGTCCTTCACACTCGCCCTCCCATCTCGCTTTCCCTGCTCGTCCTTCACACTCGCCCTCCCATCTCGCTTTCCCTGCTCGTCGTTCACACTCGCCCTCCCATCTCGCTTTCCCTGCTCGTCCTTCACACTCGCCCTCCCATCTCGCTTTCCCTGCTCGTCCTTCACACTCGCCCTCCCATCTCGCTTTCCCTGCTCGTCCTTCACACTCGCCCTCCCATCTCGCTTTCCCTGCTCGTCCTTCACACTCGCCCTCCCATCTCGCTTTCCCTGCTCGTCCTTCACACTCGCCCTCCCATCTCACTTTCCCTGCTCGTCGTTCACACTCGCCCTCCCATCTCGCTTTCCCTGCTCGTCGTTCACACTCGCCCTCCCATCTCGCTTTCCCTGCTCGTCCTTCACAGTCGCCCTCCCATCTCGCTTTCCCTGCTCGTCCTTCACACTCGCCCTCCCATCTCGCTTTCCCTGCTCGTCCTTCACACTCGCCCTCCCATCTCGCTTTCCCTGCTCGTCCTTCACACTCGCCCTCCCATCTCGCTTTCCCTGCTCGTCCTTCACACTCGCCCTCCCATCTCGCTTTCCCTGCTCGTCGTTCACACTCGCCCTCCCATCTCGCTTTCCCTGCTCGTCGTTCACACTCGCCCTCCCATCTCGCTTTCCCTGCTCGTCCTTCACACTCGCCCTCCCATCTCGCTTTCCCTGCTCGTCGTTCACACTCGCCCTCCCATCTCGCTTTCCCTGCTCGTCCTTCACACTCGCCCTCCCATCTCGCTTTCCCTGCTCGTCGTTCACACTCGCCCTCCCATCTCGCTTTCCCTGCTCGTCCTTCACACTCGCCCTCCCATCTCGCTTTCCCTGCTCGTCCTTCACACTCGCCCTCCCATCTCGCTTTCCCTGCTCGTCCTTCACACTCGCCCTCCCATCTCGCTTTCCCTGCTCGTCCTTCACACTCGCCCTCCCATCTCGCTTTCCCTGCTCGTCCTTCACACTCGCCCTCCCATCTCGCTTTCCCTGCTCGTCCTTCACACTCGCCCTCCCATCTCGCTTTCCCTGCTCGTCCTTCACACTCGCCCTCCCATCTCGCTTTCCCTGCTCGTCCTTCACACTCGCCCTCCCATCTCGCTTTCCCTGCTCGTCCTTCACACTCGCCCTCCCATCTCGCTTTCCCTGCTCGTCCTTCACACTCGCCCTCCCATCTCGCTTTCCCTGCTCGTCCTTCACACTCGCCCTCCCATCTCGCTTTCCCTGCTCGTCCTTCACACTCGCCCTCCCATCTCGCTTTCCTTGCTCGTCCTTCACACTCGCCCTCCCATCTCGCTTTCCCTGCTCGTCCTTCACACTCGCCCTCCCATCTCGCTTTCCCTGCTCGTCGTTCACACTCGCCCTCCCATCTCGCTTTCCCTGCTCGTCCTTCACACTCGCCCTCCCATCTCGCTTTCCCTGCTCGTCCTTTTCACTCGCCCTCCCATCTCGCTTTCCCTGCTCGTCGTTCACACTCGCCCTCCCATCTCGCTTTCCCTGCTCGTCGTTCACACTCGCCCTCCCATCTCGCTTTCCCTGCTCGTCGTTCACACTCGCCCTCCCATCTCGCTTTCCCTGCTCGTCGTTCACACTCGCCCTCCCATCTCGCTTTCCCTGCTCGTCCTTCACACTCGCCCTCCCATCTCGCTTTCCCTGCTCGTCCTTCACACTCGCCCTCCCATCTCGCTTTCCCTGCTCGTCCTTCACACTCGCCCTCCCATCTCGCTTTCCCTGCTCGTCGTTCACACTCGCCCTCCCATCTCGCTTTCCCTGCTCGTCCTTCACACTCGCCCTCCCATCTCGCTTTCCCTGCTCGTCCTTCACACTCGCCCTCCCATCTCGCTTTCCCTGCTCGTCCTTCACACTCGCCCTCCCATCTCGCTTTCCCTGCTCGTCCTTCACACTCGCCCTCCCATCTCGCTTTCCCTGCTCGTCCTTCACACTCGCCCTCCCATCTCGCTTTCCCTGCTCGTCGTTCACACTCGCCCTCCCATCTCGCTTTCCCTGCTCGTCCTTCACACTCGCCCTCCCATCTCGCTTTCCCTGCTCGTCCTTTTCACTCGCCCTCCCATCTCGCTTTCCCTGCTCGTCGTTCACACTCGCCCTCCCATCTCGCTTTCCCTGCTCGTCGTTCACACTCGCCCTCCCATCTCGCTTTCCCTGCTCGTCGTTCACACTCGCCCTCCCATCTCGCTTTCCCTGCTCGTCCTTCACACTCGCCCTCCCATCTCGCTTTCCCTGCTCGTCATTCACACTCGCCCTCCCATCTCGCTTTCCCTGCTCGTCCTTCACACTCGCCCTCCCATCTCGCTTTCCCTGCTCGTCCTTCACACTCGCCCTCCCATCTCGCTTTCCCTGCTCGTCGTTCACACTCGCCCTCCCATCTCGCTTTCCCTGCTCGTCCTTCACACTCGCCCTCCCATCTCGCTTTCCCTGCTCGTCCTTCACACTCGCCCTCCCATCTCGCTTTCCCTGCTCGTCCTTCACACTCGCCCTCCCATCTCGCTTTCCCTGCTCGTCCTTCACACTCGCCCTCCCATCTCGCTTTCCCTGCTCGTCCTTCACACTCGCCCTCCCATCTCGCTTTCCCTGCTCGTCGTTCACACTCGCCCTCCCATCTCGCTTTCCCTGCTCGTCCTTCACACTCGCCCTCCCATCTCGCTTTCCCTGCTCGTCGTTCACACTCGCCCTCCCATCTCGCTTTCCCTGCTCGTCCTTCACACTCGCCCTCCCATCTCGCTTTCCCTGCTCGTCGTTCACACTCGCCCTCCCATCTCGCTTTCCCTGCTCGTCGTTCACACTCGCCCTCCCATCTCGCTTTCCCTGCTCGTCGTTCACACTCGCCCTCCCATCTCGCTTTCCCTGCTCGTCCTTCACACTCGCCCTCCCATCTCGCTTTCCCTGCTCGTCCTTCACACTCGCCCTCCCATCTCGCTTTCCCTGCTCGTCCTTCACACTCGCCCTCCCATCTCGCTTTCCCTGCTCGTCCTTCACACTCGCCCTCCCATCTCGCTTTCCCTGCTCGTCGTTCACACTCGCCCTCCCATCTCGCTTTCCCTGCTCGTCCTTCACACTCGCCCTCCCATCTCGCTTTCCCTGCTCGTCCTTCACACTCGCCCTCCCATCTCGCTTTCCCTGCTCGTCCTTCACACTCGCCCTCCCATCTCGCTTTCCCTGCTCGTCCTTCACACTCGCCCTCCCATCTCGCTTTCCCTGCTCGTCCTTCACACTCGCCCTCCCATCTCGCTTTCCCTGCTCGTCGTTCACACTCGCCCTCCCATCTCGCTTTCCCTGCTCGTCCTTCACACTCGCCCTCCCATCTCGCTTTCCCTGCTCGTCCTTTTCACTCGCCCTCCCATCTCGCTTTCCCTGCTCGTCGTTCACACTCGCCCTCCCATCTCGCTTTCCCTGCTCGTCGTTCACACTCGCCCTCCCATCTCGCTTTCCCTGCTCGTCGTTCACACTCGCCCTCCCATCTCGCTTTCCCTGCTCGTCCTTCACACTCGCCCTCCCATCTCGCTTTCCCTGCTCGTCATTCACACTCGCCCTCCCATCTCGCTTTCCCTGCTCGTCCTTCACACTCGCCCTCCCATCTCGCTTTCCCTGCTCGTCCTTCACACTCGCCCTCCCATCTCGCTTTCCCTGCTCGTCGTTCACACTCGCCCTCCCATCTCGCTTTCCCTGCTCGTCCTTCACACTCGCCCTCCCATCTCGCTTTCCCTGCTCGTCCTTCACACTCGCCCTCCCATCTCGCTTTCCCTGCTCGTCCTTCACACTCGCCCTCCCATCTCGCTTTCCCTGCTCGTCCTTCACACTCGCCCTCCCATCTCGCTTTCCCTGCTCGTCCTTCACACTCGCCCTCCCATCTCGCTTTCCCTGCTCGTCGTTCACACTCGCCCTCCCATCTCGCTTTCCCTGCTCGTCCTTCACACTCGCCCTCCCATCTCGCTTTCCCTGCTCGTCGTTCACACTCGCCCTCCCATCTCGCTTTCCCTGCTCGTCCTTCACACTCGCCCTCCCATCTCGCTTTCCCTGCTCGTCGTTCACACTCGCCCTCCCATCTCGCTTTCCCTGCTCGTCGTTCACACTCGCCCTCCCATCTCGCTTTCCCTGCTCGTCGTTCACACTCGCCCTCCCATCTCGCTTTCCCTGCTCGTCCTTCACACTCGCCCTCCCATCTCGCTTTCCCTGCTCGTCCTTCACACTCGCCCTCCCATCTCGCTTTCCCTGCTCGTCATTCACACTCGCCCTCCCATCTCGCTCCACGTTGCATCGTACCAACATCTCACCGTTGCACCTGTCCCCCCTCTCCCTGTCCCCTCTCTCCCTGTCCGACTTCTCGCTGTCCCCACTCTCCCTGTCCCTCCACTCGCCTCCTCATACCACCTGCCTTTCTCCCGACATATCCTCCACCTTCCCCCGACATTACACCCCCGCCACCCCTCACTCTTTCCTCTATCCTTCCCCCTGCATACCCCCCAGCTTCCCCCCACATGCCAGCCGCCTTCCTCCCAACATACCACCTGCCTTCCCCCTCACACCCACCTGCCCACCTGCCCCTTCCACCCACCTGCTCTCCCCACTCCTGCCCTTTCCCCCCTGTCCCGCCCTTCTCATACCCTGCCCTTCATTTCATAATCCCTTCTCCCTTCCCTTCCCTTCCCTTCCATGCATGTGCTGCTATCACGGCCTCCCCATACCGTACATGCCTTCACCCTGTGCACTTGCTTATATCCCCTTGCAGTTGTTCCCTTCCACCTCACACCACCCCCCCCATGTTCCTCCCCATTATCCGTTCTGCCTAGCCTATTTGGCAGTTTTGAAGCAGAGGAGCAACAGTTGCAAGGTGTGGCGCAGCTACAGTACCGGATGGTTTATACCACCACCTGTTTCTTGTGTCTTTTATGCAAGCAAGCATGGCACTGTTTTACTGTTGAAGATTTGCATCTCAAATGCCCAAACGTACTACCGGTAATGTTTTCAGCAGTGCAAGATATTTCCAAGGTGCATGGACAGTGTGGGTGTCACAAGGGAATGAAGATTTGAAATTTGAAAATACCGTAAGGGTATATAAGCGTATGAAAATCTGGAATGCCATTTATATGACAGGATCCGCAAATTTCAGATTGATGAGATTTACAAAGCCGGTCAATACAGTACTCTAATATGTAGCTGTCTGTATACAAAAGAGTACACAGTCGTACACTTAATTAGGGAGGGGCCAGCAACTTGAACGAAATCTTTACTTTGTAATAATTACATTGCAGAAGGCCACTTGAGGCGAAGTAATAGCTTCCGCTATCACGAACCGTATATCTGGAAGCAACCCCCAATGGGGTGGGGGGGGGGGGGGGGGGAGGGGGGGAAAGGGGGGGAGGGGAACGGGGCCAAGGGAAGGAAATGGGGGGGAGGGAAGAGTGGGCGGGTGTGTGTTGGAAGCAAGGGGGTCGTTTTGTCTTAGCAGGCTTCGCTTGTACACTTTCATATAGTTAAGTAACACAATTCGCAAGGGGACTACACAAATGCCTACACCTGTTGAAAAAAGAAAAAAGTAGAAGCATCATGTTATCTGAAGACCACAGCACTTACTACCGTAGTATGACATGGCATGTTACATGCGCTGCTGTGTTATTGACCAGACTCCAACAAAATTTCTTTAGGGTCGAGTAGTACAAACAGATTGTGAGGACTCACTAAGCGCACTCAGAATTCCTAGGGTCGATCGACAAGCATTCAAGTACCAGTAGGAAAAGAAGGGCTTGGGAATTGACCGAGACAATTGCAGCCGGCACCTTTAACTACCAAATTTACTAAAAAGGGATAGATTCGCTTGTAATGACAGACCTTCTTATATTGCTCAAACTTACGTGCACTGCCCGGACTTACGTGTGCCGCCCGGACTTACGTGTACTGCCCGCCAACAACGAGGGGTCGAAGACGCTTTGCCCGTTGAAAGTCGCAGGCTTTGAATGCTTTCTCATCGTCCATAATCCACAGATCATGCCACGCCAAGTCCACCCATTTGAACACTGCGAGACGCGTGCATATAAACAGTGAACAGATTGCATAAGGTATGGGCAGTTGTGAGCATAGATAAATCAACATTGAATGCTTTCTCATCAACCAATCCACAGATCATGCCATGCCAAATCCACCCATTTGAAAACTGCAGGATACGTTGGGGAGGGACACATGGTATGGTGGTGGAGCGACGTGGCGCGGTGGTATGAGGTGACGTTGAGAGAAGATGTTCAGGCGGAGCGGAGTGATACAAGGGAAAGATAAACACATTCGGAGAGCCCAGAAGCAAGGTGACTTTCTGAGTTGACGCAAAAGTCACCCAGAAACAACGGAGTGATACAAGGGAAAGATAAACACATTCGGAGAGCCCAGAAGCAAGGTGACTTTCTGAGTTGACGCAAAAGTCACCCAGAAACAACGGAGTGATACAAGGGAAAGATAAACACATTCGGAGAGCCCAGAAGCAAGGTGACTTTCTGAGTTGACGCAAAAGTCACCCAGAAACAACGGAGTGATACAAGGGAAAGATAAACACATTCGGAGAGCCCAGAAGCAAGGTGACTTTCTGAGTTGACGCAAAAGTCACCCAGAAACAACGGAGTGATACAAGGGAAAGATAAACACATTCGGAGAGCCCAGAAGCAAGGTGACTTTCTGAGTTGACGCAAAAGTCACCCAGAAACAACGGAGTGATACAAGGGAAAGATAAACACATTCGGAGAGCCCAGAAGCAAGGTGACTTTCTGAGTTGACGCAAAAGTCACCCAGAAACAACGGAGTGATACAAGGGAAAGATAAACACATTCGGAGAGCCCAGAAGCAAGGTGACTTTCTGAGTTGACGCAAAAGTCACCCAGAAACAACGGAGTGATACAAGGGAAAGATAAACACATTCGGAGAGCCCAGAAGCAAGGTGACTTTCTGAGTTGACGCAAAAGTCACCCAGAAACAACGGAGTGATACAAGGGAAAGATAAACACATTCGGAGAGCCCAGAAGCAAGGTGACTTTCTGAGTTGACGCAAAAGTCACCCAGAAACAACGGAGTGATACAAGGGAAAGATAAACACATTCGGAGAGCCCAGAAGCAAGGTGACTTTCTGAGTTGACGCAAAAGTCACCCAGAAACAACGGAGTGATACAAGGGAAAGATAAACACATTCGGAGAGCCCAGAAGCAAGGTGACTTTCTGAGTTGACGCAAAAGTCACCCAGAAACAACGGAGTGATACAAGGGAAAGATAAACACATTCGGAGAGCCCAGAAGCAAGGTGACTTTCTGAGTTGACGCAAAAGTCACCCAGAAACAACGGAGTGATACAAGGGAAAGATAAACACATTCGGAGAGCCCAGAAGCAAGGTGACTTTCTGAGTTGACGCAAAAGTCACCCAGAAACAACGGAGTGATACAAGGGAAAGATAAACACATTCGGAGAGCCCAGAAGCAAGGTGACTTTCTGAGTTGACGCAAAAGTCACCCAGAAACAACGGAGTGATACAAGGGAAAGATAAACACATTCGGAGAGCCCAGAAGCAAGGTGACTTTCTGAGTTGACGCAAAAGTCACCCAGAAACAACGGAGTGATACAAGGGAAAGATAAACACATTCGGAGAGCCCAGAAGCAAGGTGACTTTCTGAGTTGACGCAAAAGTCACCCAGAAACAACGGAGTGATACAAGGGAAAGATAAACACATTCGGAGAGCCCAGAAGCAAGGTGACTTTCTGAGTTGACGCAAAAGTCACCCAGAAACAACGGAGTGATACAAGGGAAAGATAAACACATTCGGAGAGCCCAGAAGCAAGGTGACTTTCTGAGTTGACGCAAAAGTCACCCAGAAACAACGGAGTGATACAAGGGAAAGATAAACACATTCGGAGAGCCCAGAAGCAAGGTGACTTTCTGAGTTGACGCAAAAGTCACCCAGAAACAACGGAGTGATACAAGGGAAAGATAAACACATTCGGAGAGCCCAGAAGCAAGGTGACTTTCTGAGTTGACGCAAAAGTCACCCAGAAACAACGGAGTGATACAAGGGAAAGATAAACACATTCGGAGAGCCCAGAAGCAAGGTGACTTTCTGAGTTGACGCAAAAGTCACCCAGAAACAACGGAGTGATACAAGGGAAAGATAAACACATTCGGAGAGCCCAGAAGCAAGGTGACTTTCTGAGTTGACGCAAAAGTCACCCAGAAACAACGGAGTGATACAAGGGAAAGATAAACACATTCGGAGAGCCCAGAAGCAAGGTGACTTTCTGAGTTGACGCAAAAGTCACCCAGAAACAACGGAGTGATACAAGGGAAAGATAAACACATTCGGAGAGCCCAGAAGCAAGGTGACTTTCTGAGTTGACGCAAAAGTCACCCAGAAACAACGGAGTGATACAAGGGAAAGATAAACACATTCGGAGAGCCCAGAAGCAAGGTGACTTTCTGAGTTGACGCAAAAGTCACCCAGAAACAACGGAGTGATACAAGGGAAAGATAAACACATTCGGAGAGCCCAGAAGCAAGGTGACTTTCTGAGTTGACGCAAAAGTCACCCAGAAACAACGGAGTGATACAAGGGAAAGATAAACACATTCGGAGAGCCCAGAAGCAAGGTGACTTTCTGAGTTGACGCAAAAGTCACCCAGAAACAACGGAGTGATACAAGGGAAAGATAAACACATTCGGAGAGCCCAGAAGCAAGGTGACTTTCTGAGTTGACGCAAAAGTCACCCAGAAACAACGGAGTGATACAAGGGAAAGATAAACACATTCGGAGAGCCCAGAAGCAAGGTGACTTTCTGAGTTGACGCAAAAGTCACCCAGAAACAACGGAGTGATACAAGGGAAAGATAAACACATTCGGAGAGCCCAGAAGCAAGGTGACTTTCTGAGTTGACGCAAAAGTCACCCAGAAACAACGGAGTGATACAAGGGAAAGATAAACACATTCGGAGAGCCCAGAAGCAAGGTGACTTTCTGAGTTGACGCAAAAGTCACCCAGAAACAACGGAGTGATACAAGGGAAAGATAAACACATTCGGAGAGCCCAGAAGCAAGGTGACTTTCTGAGTTGACGCAAAAGTCACCCAGAAACAACGGAGTGATACAAGGGAAAGATAAACACATTCGGAGAGCCCAGAAGCAAGGTGACTTTCTGAGTTGACGCAAAAGTCACCCAGAAACAACGGAGTGATACAAGGGAAAGATAAACACATTCGGAGAGCCCAGAAGCAAGGTGACTTTCTGAGTTGACGCAAAAGTCACCCAGAAACAACGGAGTGATACAAGGGAAAGATAAACACATTCGGAGAGCCCAGAAGCAAGGTGACTTTCTGAGTTGACGCAAAAGTCACCCAGAAACAACGGAGTGATACAAGGGAAAGATAAACACATTCGGAGAGCCCAGAAGCAAGGTGACTTTCTGAGTTGACGCAAAAGTCACCCAGAAACAACGGAGTGATACAAGGGAAAGATAAACACATTCGGAGAGCCCAGAAGCAAGGTGACTTTCTGAGTTGACGCAAAAGTCACCCAGAAACAACGGAGTGATACAAGGGAAAGATAAACACATTCGGAGAGCCCAGAAGCAAGGTGACTTTCTGAGTTGACGCAAAAGTCACCCAGAAACAACGGAGTGATACAAGGGAAAGATAAACACATTCGGAGAGCCCAGAAGCAAGGTGACTTTCTGAGTTGACGCAAAAGTCACCCAGAAACAACGGAGTGATACAAGGGAAAGATAAACACATTCGGAGAGCCCAGAAGCAAGGTGACTTTCTGAGTTGACGCAAAAGTCACCCAGAAACAACGGAGTGATACAAGGGAAAGATAAACACATTCGGAGAGCCCAGAAGCAAGGTGACTTTCTGAGTTGACGCAAAAGTCACCCAGAAACAACGGAGTGATACAAGGGAAAGATAAACACATTCGGAGAGCCCAGAAGCAAGGTGACTTTCTGAGTTGACGCAAAAGTCACCCAGAAACAACGGAGTGATACAAGGGAAAGATAAACACATTCGGAGAGCCCAGAAGCAAGGTGACTTTCTGAGTTGACGCAAAAGTCACCCAGAAACAACGGAGTGATACAAGGGAAAGATAAACACATTCGGAGAGCCCAGAAGCAAGGTGACTTTCTGAGTTGACGCAAAAGTCACCCAGAAACAACGGAGTGATACAAGGGAAAGATAAACACATTCGGAGAGCCCAGAAGCAAGGTGACTTTCTGAGTTGACGCAAAAGTCACCCAGAAACAACGGAGTGATACAAGGGAAAGATAAACACATTCGGAGAGCCCAGAAGCAAGGTGACTTTCTGAGTTGACGCAAAAGTCACCCAGAAACAACGGAGTGATACAAGGGAAAGATAAACACATTCGGAGAGCCCAGAAGCAAGGTGACTTTCTGAGTTGACGCAAAAGTCACCCAGAAACAACGGAGTGATACAAGGGAAAGATAAACACATTCGGAGAGCCCAGAAGCAAGGTGACTTTCTGAGTTGACGCAAAAGTCACCCAGAAACAACGGAGTGATACAAGGGAAAGATAAACACATTCGGAGAGCCCAGAAGCAAGGTGACTTTCTGAGTTGACGCAAAAGTCACCCAGAAACAACGGAGTGATACAAGGGAAAGATAAACACATTCGGAGAGCCCAGAAGCAAGGTGACTTTCTGAGTTGACGCAAAAGTCACCCAGAAACAACGGAGTGATACAAGGGAAAGATAAACACATTCGGAGAGCCCAGAAGCAAGGTGACTTTCTGAGTTGACGCAAAAGTCACCCAGAAACAACGGAGTGATACAAGGGAAAGATAAACACATTCGGAGAGCCCAGAAGCAAGGTGACTTTCTGAGTTGACGCAAAAGTCACCCAGAAACAACGGAGTGATACAAGGGAAAGATAAACACATTCGGAGAGCCCAGAAGCAAGGTGACTTTCTGAGTTGACGCAAAAGTCACCCAGAAACAACGGAGTGATACAAGGGAAAGATAAACACATTCGGAGAGCCCAGAAGCAAGGTGACTTTCTGAGTTGACGCAAAAGTCACCCAGAAACAACGGAGTGATACAAGGGAAAGATAAACACATTCGGAGAGCCCAGAAGCAAGGTGACTTTCTGAGTTGACGCAAAAGTCACCCAGAAACAACGGAGTGATACAAGGGAAAGATAAACACATTCGGAGAGCCCAGAAGCAAGGTGACTTTCTGAGTTGACGCAAAAGTCACCCAGAAACAACGGAGTGATACAAGGGAAAGATAAACACATTCGGAGAGCCCAGAAGCAAGGTGACTTTCTGAGTTGACGCAAAAGTCACCCAGAAACAACGGAGTGATACAAGGGAAAGATAAACACATTCGGAGAGCCCAGAAGCAAGGTGACTTTCTGAGTTGACGCAAAAGTCACCCAGAAACAACGGAGTGATACAAGGGAAAGATAAACACATTCGGAGAGCCCAGAAGCAAGGTGACTTTCTGAGTTGACGCAAAAGTCACCCAGAAACAACGGAGTGATACAAGGGAAAGATAAACACATTCGGAGAGCCCAGAAGCAAGGTGACTTTCTGAGTTGACGCAAAAGTCACCCAGAAACAACGGAGTGATACAAGGGAAAGATAAACACATTCGGAGAGCCCAGAAGCAAGGTGACTTTCTGAGTTGACGCAAAAGTCACCCAGAAACAACGGAGTGATACAAGGGAAAGATAAACACATTCGGAGAGCCCAGAAGCAAGGTGACTTTCTGAGTTGACGCAAAAGTCACCCAGAAACAACGGAGTGATACAAGGGAAAGATAAACACATTCGGAGAGCCCAGAAGCAAGGTGACTTTCTGAGTTGACGCAAAAGTCACCCAGAAACAACGGAGTGATACAAGGGAAAGATAAACACATTCGGAGAGCCCAGAAGCAAGGTGACTTTCTGAGTTGACGCAAAAGTCACCCAGAAACAACGGAGTGATACAAGGGAAAGATAAACACATTCGGAGAGCCCAGAAGCAAGGTGACTTTCTGAGTTGACGCAAAAGTCACCCAGAAACAACGGAGTGATACAAGGGAAAGATAAACACATTCGGAGAGCCCAGAAGCAAGGTGACTTTCTGAGTTGACGCAAAAGTCACCCAGAAACAACGGAGTGATACAAGGGAAAGATAAACACATTCGGAGAGCCCAGAAGCAAGGTGACTTTCTGAGTTGACGCAAAAGTCACCCAGAAACAACGGAGTGATACAAGGGAAAGATAAACACATTCGGAGAGCCCAGAAGCAAGGTGACTTTCTGAGTTGACGCAAAAGTCACCCAGAAACAACGGAGTGATACAAGGGAAAGATAAACACATTCGGAGAGCCCAGAAGCAAGGTGACTTTCTGAGTTGACGCAAAAGTCACCCAGAAACAACGGAGTGATACAAGGGAAAGATAAACACATTCGGAGAGCCCAGAAGCAAGGTGACTTTCTGAGTTGACGCAAAAGTCACCCAGAAACAACGGAGTGATACAAGGGAAAGATAAACACATTCGGAGAGCCCAGAAGCAAGGTGACTTTCTGAGTTGACGCAAAAGTCACCCAGAAACAACGGAGTGATACAAGGGAAAGATAAACACATTCGGAGAGCCCAGAAGCAAGGTGACTTTCTGAGTTGACGCAAAAGTCACCCAGAAACAACGGAGTGATACAAGGGAAAGATAAACACATTCGGAGAGCCCAGAAGCAAGGTGACTTTCTGAGTTGACGCAAAAGTCACCCAGAAACAACGGAGTGATACAAGGGAAAGATAAACACATTCGGAGAGCCCAGAAGCAAGGTGACTTTCTGAGTTGACGCAAAAGTCACCCAGAAACAACGGAGTGATACAAGGGAAAGATAAACACATTCGGAGAGCCCAGAAGCAAGGTGACTTTCTGAGTTGACGCAAAAGTCACCCAGAAACAACGGAGTGATACAAGGGAAAGATAAACACATTCGGAGAGCCCAGAAGCAAGGTGACTTTCTGAGTTGACGCAAAAGTCACCCAGAAACAACGGAGTGATACAAGGGAAAGATAAACACATTCGGAGAGCCCAGAAGCAAGGTGACTTTCTGAGTTGACGCAAAAGTCACCCAGAAACAACGGAGTGATACAAGGGAAAGATAAACACATTCGGAGAGCCCAGAAGCAAGGTGACTTTCTGAGTTGACGCAAAAGTCACCCAGAAACAACGGAGTGATACAAGGGAAAGATAAACACATTCGGAGAGCCCAGAAGCAAGGTGACTTTCTGAGTTGACGCAAAAGTCACCCAGAAACAACGGAGTGATACAAGGGAAAGATAAACACATTCGGAGAGCCCAGAAGCAAGGTGACTTTCTGAGTTGACGCAAAAGTCACCCAGAAACAACGGAGTGATACAAGGGAAAGATAAACACATTCGGAGAGCCCAGAAGCAAGGTGACTTTCTGAGTTGACGCAAAAGTCACCCAGAAACAACGGAGTGATACAAGGGAAAGATAAACACATTCGGAGAGCCCAGAAGCAAGGTGACTTTCTGAGTTGACGCAAAAGTCACCCAGAAACAACGGAGTGATACAAGGGAAAGATAAACACATTCGGAGAGCCCAGAAGCAAGGTGACTTTCTGAGTTGACGCAAAAGTCACCCAGAAACAACGGAGTGATACAAGGGAAAGATAAACACATTCGGAGAGCCCAGAAGCAAGGTGACTTTCTGAGTTGACGCAAAAGTCACCCAGAAACAACGGAGTGATACAAGGGAAAGATAAACACATTCGGAGAGCCCAGAAGCAAGGTGACTTTCTGAGTTGACGCAAAAGTCACCCAGAAACAACGGAGTGATACAAGGGAAAGATAAACACATTCGGAGAGCCCAGAAGCAAGGTGACTTTCTGAGTTGACGCAAAAGTCACCCAGAAACAACGGAGTGATACAAGGGAAAGATAAACACATTCGGAGAGCCCAGAAGCAAGGTGACTTTCTGAGTTGACGCAAAAGTCACCCAGAAACAACGGAGTGATACAAGGGAAAGATAAACACATTCGGAGAGCCCAGAAGCAAGGTGACTTTCTGAGTTGACGCAAAAGTCACCCAGAAACAACGGAGTGATACAAGGGAAAGATAAACACATTCGGAGAGCCCAGAAGCAAGGTGACTTTCTGAGTTGACGCAAAAGTCACCCAGAAACAACGGAGTGATACAAGGGAAAGATAAACACATTCGGAGAGCCCAGAAGCAAGGTGACTTTCTGAGTTGACGCAAAAGTCATCCAGACACAGCAGGCGATACAAGGCAAAGGTGAGCACACCCGAACAGCCCAGAAGGCAGACCCCCGACAAAAAAGGTGTGTTTTCAGTCAACTCAAAACAAGCCCAGATGCCAGACCCCTCACAAAAAAGGGTCCATGAGACGAAAAGTGGCTTGTGAGAAAGGCATAAAATACTTAGTGCCTGTGTGCTTCAGAACTCCCCATGCCTTTGACTGTAACCTCGGAGCAGAGAGGCAGGCTTCTCTGTGCGGCAGACAGGAGAGAGAACAAGCGTGGTGAGACGACGCACCTAGATCGTCGCCGATAGAAATCTGAGGGAGGTGCACGCGTTTCGTCCAGTTCAGATCCCACGGAATGATCTGCGTGGCGGCCTGGTGGGTTGGCAGAATAGAGATGGGAAGAGGGATGAAAAAGGGACAGAAGATAGATAGGGAAAGCAGGGTTCAGAAGGATAGGGTAATGGCTCTCGAGGGGTCTCACAAGTGGTATTTTTCCTACTCGTGGTAACAGCAACATCAACACCAATATTATCATGGTGGCAATGATATTACTATACATCATAACAATCGATGTTTGGCCTCTCACATACTCCTCACATCTACCAAATGAATGGCAAGGTCTTATATGTTCAGATAAACGAACAGGTACTAGGCTTGTCAACGACTCCCGGCTTCTCAGCACCCTAGCAGCAGCGAAACCTATGAGCAAAGGCATCCGAGGTCATAGGTGATGATTTGACTCACAAAAACTCGCCCGTGGCGGCTTCAGGCCTCTCAGTGGCCTTGCCGTAAAACGCAGCAATTAATGCGATTTAGGGAGACCTACCTCTGCTTGCAGCAGCCACGCAGCTGTGGATCCAGGGAGTGCAATGGAGAGGCAGGCAATGATCGAGGCAGGACAGGACATGGGAGAAGGGGCGGAAAGGGAGAGAAGGGAGTGGAGAGCGAGGAGTGAGGGAAATGAAGGAATGGAGGGAGCGGAGGAAAATGAGAGAAGAGAGGGAAGCGAGGGGAATAAGGGAACAAGGGGAGTGGTAATGCAACAAAACTGAACAAGGGAAGGATGAGTAGTAAGTGGGGAACTAGAAAGCAAGGAGAGAGAATGCAACTGCGAGACAAGCACCCGCTTTGGGTGAAGAGGAGGAGGAGGAGGAGGAGGAGGGGGGGGGGGGGAGGAGAGGAGCTTACGTGTCAGTAGCAGCAAGGTGCTGAATCCCAGAAGGAGGACGAAGAGCGATCGCGCCATGCTACTCCGAGTAGCAGTTATCACTCCTGCGCCGCCGCGATTATCGGGGTAAAAGGAAAACTGGACCACAGAGAAGGACCGAAGAAGTTATCGCTCTGCACCGTGCCAAATCTCTTAGGTGCTGCAGGATGGTAGAAGGAGACAGCAGGAGGGCAGGGGATGTTTGCCGCGCAGGAAGAAACGCAAGTACCGCTTTCTAGCAAAAAAAAAGGAAATAGGAAGGTGGAAAGAAAATTCGACCATGATTCTGGGGTGATGATGCGGGATGTGACACACTCTCACATGAACGCTCTCGCAAACACACGCTCACATGCACGCACTCGCAAACACACGCTCACATGCACGCATTCGCAAACACACGCTCACATGACCGTCACACAAACACTTTCTTTCACTCCGAGTGAGTCACATGCGCTCTTCCTGTCCTCTCTCTCGCGCTTACCCCGCCTCCCTCGTCCCACTCTCCGTGCTCACACTCACACTCTCAGTAACCTACCTCAGTGAGGCGATATTAGATATAGAAATGACTTGTGTCTCAACCTACGGTCAAGGGGACGGAGAGAGATGGAGAAAAAGGGGATGGATTTTATAGAGCGACGAATAAATGTAGGGGGAAGGGAGAGACGACAGCAGGCAAGGGAAAATTAGGTGGCAGGCACCTTGCGCGCCGTAAGCGCGGAAGGCGTCTGCGCCCTCACTGAGAGGATAGTAGCGCCGCGGGAGACAGCGCAGCGCGAAAGGCGCCAGCCAGTCGCCAGAAACCAATCGCGAGTTGAATATTACCGGAAAAAAAGGCCCAAGACAGTAGTAGCACTAACAGTTATGCGCACCGCGCGCTGCGTCATCGCTCCCGGAAACGCAAGCCTGACCCCGCTGGGCGCGCGGCGCAAAGCGCATGGCGCCAGCGCGTAGGTTGCAAGGCGCGCGCTGAAGCGAGGAGACATACAATTTCTACTCACAGCACGAGCACGGCGTTTGTCACGGGCGTTTGTCACGGGCGTTGGTCCCGGCACTTGCAATTTTCACGAGCGGTCGTCGCGGACGATGGGAAGCTTGAAAACTGCTGTGTTGGGAACTGGGTGAGAACAAAAAGGTTGATAGGAGCGTTGGAAATTAGTATCTTGAAACGGTTGCGCGACGTCAGGTCGTACAACTTTCTGTACGCCCACTGCGGTTAAATTCGTTTCAGCACGGTTCAGAGCGTTAAACGTCGAAAACCGTTTTTCACCGTGTTCAACCGTCTTAAACCACGATATAAGAACTGTAAACGCGTGAGATGCGTATACACCTGACGCCGCCCTTATTTTGGAAGTTCGTCAGCTGCTGGTTTGATGTGTGTGCAGGTGAAATTGAGCAGCGCCCAATTTGCATCGCAGGAGCTACCCAGCGAAATGTCGCAGGTGTGGTTCGGAGCCCAGAGCGAAGCACAGGTTGATGGCTCGGGAGATACTGAGGACGCGGCACCTCTGGCACCGATCCTGCGATCGATCCTGCTCAGGTTCGAATTTTTTAGGAGTTCAAAATGGTGTTGGAAGATGTAAATGTTTTTGGCAGTATTTCAGTGCGGTGGAATCAGCGATCCTGGGATCGATCGTGCAAAATTTCTAGAGGTGCCGCGTCCTGACTGTCCGTTCGCTGGGACCTTTTCTCTGGCTGTCACGAACAACTCACTTGGTAACAGACGGTTTCACGACAACCTGCGATTTCAACCTCACGGAAATATACAATTTCAGCAGCCGCTCGTCAACCAATTGACCATCAGCCGAGTTGTTGACGATTTGTTGCGACATTGCAACCCCGCGTTGTTCCCGGGGAAGTGCGACACAGACAGTACATAGTTGTTCGGTCGCACCGCAACAATGCCCTGGTTCTGACACCGCCAGATGGAGGGAAAAGCCACGTAGGCTCCCACCGAACCAGGGCGTGCCGCTCACCTAGCACCCCGAACCTCTGTTTTCCCACCAAGGCCCCCAAACCACTTTCCCGCCTCCTCACTAGGGAGAGTCGAGCCTTGGCACCAGCTACTGTACGGTACATGATTGCGAGACGGACCGTGTAGCACCGAACTAAAACATTGCACCCTATTGCATGGGCTGGAATGAGAGCCTAATGAGTTAGCTTCCTCCATTCCCCATTCCCTGCCGGTGCGCGTCACTTGCTGCTGTGTTCTGTCACCGTCGTTCCTGCATCAAAGCGACGCTTCGCTTCAGGCGGGGATCAGCGAAATGTGTGCACTAGATGCTGACGTGGCGCCGGGGCCAGGCTCGATCGTGTAGACTTGTTTCGCGTGTCATTGCATTTCCGCGACACCTATATCGCGTATATTCGTTACAAGGGCGACTAAGATGAACCAGTCCTACGTGTTCTGCTTCTCGGCGCCACGACAGTCTCTCTTTTTTACGGCGGAAGTAGCGGCGGCAATTTCGATATTAGAACCTCTTCCCCGATAATATCTACTCCTAGCACTGCCTCGACGGTGTCGTGAAAATCACTGTTTCCGACCAGCCCGCGTTTCTGACACTCTCCGAACCACCTCGCTCCCCGGGCCCTCGCGGTAGGAATGGAGCGCGCGGCGCAGCGGAGTCGGCGCATTCGCGCAGTCGCCACCGCAGCCCCCCTCGCGCCGCTGCAGCCACCGCTTCTGCTGCTGCTGCTGCTGCTCTTGCTGCTGCTGCTTCAATGCCCTCCCTGTCGGTGCCAGGAGCCGGCGCGTGTCAACGCCACGCAAGGTGCGGGGGGATAAGGAAGGGGGGAGGGGCGTGGAGGGAGGGGGGAGATGGGGAGCGAGTACGGGACGGGGAGAAAGTTTGCTGCGATGCCCTCCCTGCCGGGGCTGGGAGCCACCACCAATCAACGACACGCAAGGGGCGGAGGAGCGGGTGTGGGGAGAAAAAGTGTGGGGGGGGGGGGGAGAGGAGAGGAGTAGCGGTTGTGGGGGGTAGAAGGGGAAGAGGTCGGTGCAGTGCCCTTCCTGCCGAGGCTGGGAGTCGCCACCTGTCAACGCCACGCAAGGTGCGGAGGAGTGGGTGCCGGGAGGTAGTAAGACGGGGAGCGCGTGTGGCGAGAAGCGGGTTCGGGGGTTAAAAGGGGAAAGAGCTCGGTGCAGTGGTGTCCTCCCTGCTGGGGCGGGGAGCAGCCACCTGTCAACGCCACGCAAGGTGCAGGGGAATAAGGAAAGAGGGGAGTGAAGGTAGTCGGGGAGCGGGTGTGGGGAGAAAAAGGGGAGACGGGGAGCGGGTGTGGGGAGAAAAAGGGGAGACGGGGAGCGGTTGTGGGGGGGAAAAGCGGTTGTGCAGTGTCTTCCCTGCTGGGGCTGAGAACAGCCACCTGTCAACGCCACGCAAGGTGCAGGGGATAAGGGAAGGGGGGAAGGAGGAGCGGAGGGAGGGGGGGGTTGGAAATGCGGGGAAAGGGGTGTTGGGGATAGCAGGGGAAGCGCTGCTGCTGCAGCCCCTGGGCTGGCAGCCGCCGCGAGTCAGAGGGGGATGAGCGAAGAAGCGCGTGCGGGGATGGGGGGAGAAGCGCGTGCGGGGATGGGGGGAGAAGCGTGTGCGGGGATGGGGGGAGAAGCGCGTGCGGGGATGGGGGGAGAAGCGCGTGCGGGGATGGGGGGAGAAGCGCGTGCGGGGATGGGGGGAGAAGCGTGTGCGGGGATGGGGGGAGAAGCGTGTGCGGGGATGGGGGGAGAAGCGCGTGCGGGGATGGGGGGAGAAGCGCGTGCGGGGATGGGGGGAGAAGCGTGCGCTAGGATGCGGGGAGAAGCGCGTGGAAGAGTGGAAGGAGAAGCGTTTGCGGTAATGAGGTATGTGAGGTATGTTCCCATACTGGCGGAGGTAGGCACCTCAATGAGTGATTCAGTGGCAGTCCAGGTGAATGGGTGGGGGGTGGGGGTGGGCAGTGGGGAGAGAGAGAGGTGAGGGTGTGAGGGAGAACAGAGGGGATGGGTGGGGGAATAGGGATAAAGGGGTTACAAGCGAAGTAACGGGGGAAAAGTGTAAGAGGGAGCAGGACGAAGCAGGGTGGGTGGGTGGAGCGCAGGGGGGAAGAAGATGGAAGGGATACGAGGTGGAAGGGGGATGAGAGGTTGAGGGGAGGCGAAGGGGGATGAGAGGTTGAGGGGTGGCGAGGGGAAGTGAGTGGAGGAAGAGGAGGAGGGAAGAGGTGGTTTGGGAGGGATGGGGCAGGCGCAGATGCGTGGAAATGAGACGCAAGCGCAGATGGGTGCCTCTGTGCTATTTGGTAGAGTGGGGTGCGCAGCAGTGGGTGGCAGTGGGTGGCATTGGATGGGTGGCAGTGGGTGGCATTGGATGGGTGGCAGTGGGTGACAGCCGACTGGTCGCTTGAGAGCGTGGAGGCGAGCAATCAATTTGTGCAGCCTGGGCCCTCTTGAGAACTCTTGGGACAGTGCTGGCACGCATTTGTGCAAGGGTGGCAGCCGGCTTGGCGATTCAAAGGTTGGAGACGAGCCATCAATGTGTGCACGGCATCCTGGGAACTTTTGGGGATTCTTATCTGAGCCCTCTGCCTCGCCACCCCATGCTCCCGTCTCCCTCCCATGGTCACACCCCCAATCGCCCCGCCAGTGCTGGCACGCATTGTGCAAGGGTGGCAGCCCGCTTGGCGATTCAGGGCGTGGAGGCGAGCGAGTGACGTGTGCAGCCTGGAGGACCCGGCTGTAGCATGCTCCGATGGCTCACTGGTGGCACTGTAAGTGCATACTGCCACATGCCACATGCCACGTGCCATGCCATGCCATGCTACTTCACAGTGTAAAGGGCAAGCAAGCAATTAACGTGTGCAGCCTGGAGGACCCGGCTGTAGCATGCTCCGATGGCTCACTGGTGGCACTGTAAGTGCATACTGTCACATGCCACATGCCACGTGCCATGCCATGCCATGCTACTTCACAGTGTAAAGGGCAAGCAAGCAAATAATGTGTGCAGCTTGGGGGACCCGGCTGTAGCATGCTCCGAGGATGGCTCACTGGTGGCGCTGTAAGTGCGTGCTGTCACATGCCACATGCCATGCCCATGCACACCATGCCATGCCCATGCACACCATGCCATGCCCATGCACACCATGCCATCCCATGCCATGCCATCCCATGCCATGCCATGCCATGCCATGCACCCATCCCACACGACCTGTCCGTCTCGGCATTGCTTCCGACTGCAGTGTCCCCACTCTGTCCTCTCTTTTCCCACTCTGTCCCCTCCCCCTCATCAAAACACACGCCTTGCTCGTGTTCCTTCTAATCCATTCCCCCCCCCCCCCCCCCCCCCCCCCCCGGAAAAAATGAGTTTCCAGTGTGTTGGTCCTCACCTCACGTGCGTGCTGCGAGCGAGGAAGTGGTTACAAGCCGGCATCGAGTCGACTCACAAGTCAAGTCACCTGTGTTTCAAATTAAAGTTTCAATGTGTTGGTTCTCCTCCTCTCCTCACGTGTGTGCTGCCAGGAAGTTGTCACAAGCCGGCATCAAGGGGAACCTCTCTGATGACATTGGCACTCTCACCACCCTCACCGCTCTGTACGCCTTCTCACCTCTCTGTACGCCCAGTCACCTTCCTGTACGCCCGCTCACTTCCCTGTATGCTCACACCCTCCCTATACACTCTCTCTTGCTTCATACCCTCACTCTACGCCCCTCTCCCTCCGTATACCCTCCGTGGCTCCTCACTTCCGTTTTGCCTTCGATCCGTTTTCTTCCCACACGCCCTCCCTCGCCTCCTTCCTGCCTCACGCACACGTGGCCCTTGCTCCTCTGCCTTCAACCATTCACACGCGGCCCTTGCTCCTCTGCCTTCAACCATTCACACGCGGCCCTTGCTCCTCTGCCTTCAACCATTCACACGCGGCCCTTGCTCCTCTGCCTTCAACCATTCACACGCGGCCCTTGCTCCTCTGCCTTCAACCATTCACACGCGGCCCTTGCTCCTCTGCCTTCAACCATTCACACGCGGCCCTTGCTCCTCTGCCTTCAACCATTCACACGCGGCCCTTGCTCCTCTGCCTTCAACCATTCACACGCGGCCCTTGCTCCTCTGCCTTCAACCATTCACACGCGGCCCTTGCTCCTCTGCCTTCAACCATTCACACGCGGCCCTTGCTCCTCTGCCTTCAACCACCTGCTACTCTCTCCTCTCCCATCCCCTCTGCATCGCTCTTGCAACTCTTCCCTCCGTCCCTCACCACCCCGACCTAGTTGTTCGTTCCTAGGAACAAACTATGCTGCATGCTGCCACCAAGGGCACGTCTTGCCACTGCAGACTTTTTAGTCGACTCTAAAGTCACCTAGTGGTTCGTTCCTAGAAGCAAGCTATGCTGCATGCTGCCCCCAAGTTCACGCCTTGCCACTACAGCTCCTCTCCCCGCCCTTCCTTTGTCCCTCTCTCCAACTTCTTTGCATCACACAGTGCCCTTCTTACCCATCTTAATCTTGAGACGTCTCAAAACTACACTTTTATCACGTGCAGCTCCTCTCCCCCGCCCTTCCTGCCTCCTCTCTCCAACTTCTCTGCATCGCACGTTCCCCTTCTCACCCATCTTAAAGCTCCAAACTCTTGAGACGTCTCAGAAAATTGCTCCAAATTTAAACCACTCACCTCAAGCCCTCTTCTCTTTCTTTCTTTCTGACGAGAGAGAATTCCCTCCATATGTCTCACTTCCCTCTCACCTCACTCTCCTTCCATACAGCTCTTCTGAGGCCCTCTGGTGATCCGTCCTTCACTCCTCGCTCCTCGCCCTCTCGCCCCTTCGCCTCTCGCCCCCTCTCCTCTCGCTCCCTCTCCTTTCCCACCTGGCAGGCAGCTGGACGGCAATCGACTCTACGGCTACCTGCCTTGGTCCCTGGGAGCCCTCTCTAACCTGCATCTCCTGTGTATTCCCTCACATGATTCGCCCTTCACCGCCCTCCCCCTCACCTCACGCCCCCTTCCCCCCCCCCCCTGCCAGGCAGCTGGACGGCAATCGACTCTACGGCTACCTGCCTTGGTCCCTGGGGACCCTCTCTATCCAGCCTGCAACTCGTATGAGGCCCTCACATAATACGCCCCTCGCCCCTCGCCCCTCGCCCCTCGCCCCTCGCACCTCCCTCCCCTCTTCCATTCCCACCTGGCAGGCAGCTGGACGGCAATCGGCTCTACGGCTACCTGCCTTGGTCCCTGGGTTACCTCACCAACCTGCAAATCCTGTGAGGCTCCTCATATCACATGATACGCCCTGTGAGGCCCATGATAGATGATATGTCCTGTTTTGTAGGGAAAGTGAGATGATACTCTCTGGGAGGTAATAAACTTTCAAAAGATCCCTGCAACCCCTGTGGGGACCCTGGGAACCCTCCCCAACCTGTGACTCTTTGAGGTCCGTGAGAGATGATTTCCACGCCACATGGGATGGATAAGTTTTTAAGAAGCTGAAATAGTTTGTAAGAAAAACACAAGGCAATCAAGGAGCAGTCTCCTAATGGTTCAGCTGAAACTAATGTGTGACTGTACAGTAATATGCAAAAGATGAGGTGAATGCGAGTTTTCAGTAACCAACTGACCTCCAGCTTCTGTCAGGCCCGTGAGGGGATATGCTTCTGTGAGGCCGTTGAGAGATGTTACACTCTTTTTGGCAGATGATATGCCATGTGGGCACATGATATGCCCTGTGGGGCACATGATACGCCATGTGGGGCACATGATACGCCCTGTAAAACACATGATACGCCCTGTGGGACACATGATACGCTATGTGGTATGCGCTATGTGGCAGTTTATTGAGTGGACAGAAAAATCCCCTTTCTTCCTGTCCTGCCCCTACTGTGTGTGAGTTTATGTGCGTGTGTGTGCAGCAACGTGGGCAGCAACCAGCTAAAAGGCAGTTTCTTACTCAACTTCATTCACATACTCAAAATCGTCTTTCCTCCTGTCCTGTCCTGCCCCTCCTGCCCCTCCTGTGTGCGTGTATGTGCAGCAACGTGGGGGCAATCAGCTAGAAGGCAGCTTCTTACTCAGCTTCACTCACATACTCAAAATCCCCTTTTGTCCTGTCCTGCCTTCCTCTGTGTGTGCGTGTGCAGCAACGTGGGTGGCAATCAGCTAGAAGGCAGTTCCTTACTCAGCTTCATTCACATACTCAAAATCCCCTTTCCTCCTGTCCTGTCCTGCCCCTCCTCCTGTGTGCGTTCGTGTGCAGCAACGTGGGCAGCAACCAGCTACAAGGCATGATCCCTGAGTCAATTACGAACCTAAAGCACCTTCACACGCTGTGCGTACATCTTTGAAAATGGGGGAAGGGGATGATCAATCCACCGCTCACCTGAAATGGCAACGGCGTTATTGGCATGATCCCTGAGTCCATCACGAGCCTCAAGCACCTTCACACGTTGTGCGTGCATCTTTGAAAGAGGGGGGGGGGGTGGGGGAGGAGGTTAGAGGGGAGGGACGAGGGGATGCAGAGAGGGAGGGAGGACGAGGTGAAAAGGGGATGATCAATCCACCTCTCACCTGAAATGGCAACCAGGCTAGTAGGCATGATCCCTGAGTCCATCACGAGCCTCAAGCACCTTTACACGCTGTACGTACATTTCTGATTGAAGGGAGGAATCTTAGGCAACGGCATAATTGACATGATGGCGTGATGATAGGGGAGGGGAGGGGATAAAGAGGGAAGAGGGGATGGAGGCAAGGAACCGTACAATCACAAACCTCACGCACCATCACACACGGTGTGAGTTCCCGTGAGAGGAGAATGTTTTTGACAGGGGAGGAGCGAGGGGACGAAGGGAGAAGGGGAGATGGAGGTAAGGAAGCGTACAATCACAAACCTCACGCACCTTCGCACACCCCGTGTGTACCTGGGAGGGAGAGAGGGTGAGGGTAGGGAAGGGAGGACGGGCAGGAGGGAGGGAGGGAGGGTGAGGGTAGGGAAGGGAGGAACAGTGAATTGTGCAGAAGGATGGTAAGAAGGATGGTCAGAAGGATGGTCAGAAGGATGGTCAGAAGGATGGTCAGAAGGATGGACACTTTTTGTCAGCAATTCTTTTCTCCTCCATATTTGTTCATGTGCGTCAGTGTTTGTGCACTCGTGGCTGTGGATCTATTCATTCATATGTGCGCGAGGGTTTTGTGTGGGATTGGGATTTTGCATCTCGCTGTGTGTATTTGTGCGTGTGTGAGGTGACGTATGAGTCGACTCAAAAGTCACCTTTGTGCGTGTGGGCTTTTGTGTGGGATTGGGGTTCTGCATCTCTCTGTGTGTATCCGTGCGTGTATGGCGTGCGGTACTGTTGAGAGGGGCGGAGAAGGGTGCATGTGTATGTGTGCGCCGCGTGCGCGCGCGCGCGCGCGCGCGTGTGTGTGTGTGTGTGTGTGTGTGCGTGCGTGTGTGTGTGTGCGCGCGTGCGTGTGCGTGCGTGCGTGCGTGCGTGCGTGCGTGCGTGTGTGTGTGTGTGTGTGTGTGCGTGCGTGCGTGCGTGCGTGCGTGCGTGCGCGCGCGCGTGCGTGCGTGCGTGCGTGCGTGCGTGCGTGTGTGTGCATGCATGTGCGCGTGCATGTTATTGCATATGAGCGCCCGCTGCTGCAAACACCAGTCGAATCGAGCGCAACAAGTTTGACCACGCCCTACCTGCCAACTTATCAGCGCTCACCAAACTCAGCCTCTTGTCAGTTCTCCCTTCCTTCCTTCCTTCCTTCCTTCCTTCCTTCCTTCCTTCCTTCCTTCCTGTGCCTTTTCTCACTCATCCCTTCCCACTCCCTCTTTACCACTCATCTCTTCCTTCCTTCCTTCCTTCCTTCCACTGCCTCTTTGCACTGGCCTTCTGGCGTCCACGTGAAAAAAGGGTGTTTCTTGAGACGTTTTAAAAGCACCTTTTTTTCACGTCACTGCCTCTTTGCAGTGGACTTTTGGTGTCTACTCTTGTCCCTCACGAATGCTCTTAAATCCACTCCATGCCATTTCTTTGCCCACGGATTACTGCCAATGTCTTGGGTGTATTAAACGCGGCAACTGTGCTGTGGATGTCAGTGCTGTTTTGCTCTTTACTTACTCTGGAGCTGAGTCCTATCTAGAAGTATGTTTCAACAGTGCATCAGAAGACATTTTAGAAGGAGCTTCCCAGGAAGCTCCGTTCCCGCTTTTTCCCATGCCCTGGTTTGTCTCTCTCATTTGCCCATCCCCGTTCCGCAACCACCCCCTTCCCCTTGCACCGCTCTCCACCACCGCATGGATGGCAGATTCGCCAACAACAACTCCTTTTCGGGCCCTCTGCCATCCTTCTTTGGCAGCATGACCCGGCTTCAGCAGCTGTGAGTGCAGCAGCTGTGAGTGCAGCAGCTGTGACTGTGGTGCCTCTGTGTGTGAGTGGTGCCTGGTGTTGTAGCAAGTACGAGTGCCTACGGCTTCTCTAGCTTCTAGCAAGTGGTTGTGTTCTCGTATTAATGTCTCCAACCACCAGCTGCCTATCTTATATCATTGTCTCTGGAGTAACTCTAACTCGTTATGTCTCAGACTAATTCGTCACATAACTATGCCAAGTTTCGCACCTTTACCTCATAAACACTCTCCATTAGAGTGCATGTTTCACCTATCTCAATGCAGTTCCATTCACCTTTGAATCACTGTCCCATTGATGTTTCATCTATCAAGCGTATTCCCACCTATTGGTTTGACGACGCTTGCTCGCAGAAAGCTCTACTCCAACCCCATGAGAGGGTCGCTACCGGAGTCCTACTCACAACTCAAGAACCTCACCCACCTGTACGCCTCCTCACCCACGTGTGCACCTCCTCACCCACCTGTTCGCCTCCTCACCCACCAGTTCGCCTACTCATCCACATGTACGCATCCTCTACCTGCACATCTGGCACCTACTTGATTATGGCGTTTGCTGCCCCTTTGGAACTGTTATGTCTTACTACCCTCGAAGATTTTAGTTTTGCACATGAGTAAATGGAAAGTACACTTGATTATCACTGAAGATTGTAAGCACATACTAGTGTGTGACTGCAAGAAGTCTGCAAGAAGTCAACTCCAGTGGGTTATCAAAAACAACTTTCCATATCACTCACGTAGCCCACGAGGTGGCAATCTGATGCTGCAGTTACTCTTCGTCAGTTGTGCCCCTGTAAGGGGGCGGCCAGCCTGCAGGCGCGGTCATTGCCCTGCTTGGGGGGGGTTGGGGGGGGGGGGGGGGGGGGGGGGGGGGGTTGGGGGGGGGGGGGGGGGGGGGGGGGGGGGGGGGGGGGGGGGTGCCATCATTGCCCTGCTTAGGTGGCGCGACGGGATTCGGCCGCCAGGACGACCGAACCTTGACCAGAATCGTGCCGATTCTGGCACGATCCTGGTCAAGATCGTGCGGGCCCCACCTCCTCCTAGATCCCTCCCTCTTAAGGCGCTCCCCACTACAGCAGCAGTAATCGTTTTCAGCAGCAGGAGGAGCAGTAACGCTATAATTCGACAGCAACCGAGGTAGAAAAAAAATGCTACTCCCACCGACGACGTTTTCAACGCCATTCCATCGCCATTGCATTGCATATTTTCTTCTTTTTTCGTCGCACCCATATTTACCCGCCGTCATTTTTCACCTGCCACCTTCTCCTCCTCCTCTCTCATCACTTCTCTCACCAAGGGAAGCAGTCGATTGGTCAGCAGCTGGAGTGGAGAGTAGACGCCGTGTCCATGCCTTCATAAGCTGCTTGACATCATCGCCGTCGGCCAGGACTGACCGGGGTGCAACGGAGGTATCCCGCGAGTTTGTAAGCTTTAAAGCTCCAACCACGGCCGAGTCTGCCATGCTTGGTTCAAGCGTTGTTGTAGGACGATCAGAGGAGAGCAGTAGCATGGAACTACTACCTACTCCAGCTGCCTACCAAGCAATTTCTACCCTTTGGCGGGTTTTGGTGACTTTTTAGGGCGAAAAGAGTTCGCCATGAGACAAAACTACAGCAGAAGATGCGAAAAATCCCCCCCAACACCTCCTATCATTTTCACCTCGTTCGATGAACAGTGAACACCCGCTCGCTGGCGCAGTCTTATGATGGGTTTTATGGTGGGTAGGTAGGGGAAGAGGAGTTCGCCCGGAGTCGCAGCGGCACCAGGAGATGCAGAACATCACCACCAACACCTCCCATCAATTTCGTCTCATTGGCTCGACTCCGCGCTCGCCGGCGCCGTTTTGCGTAAACCGCGGTTTTTGGTGGATTTGAAGGGCATTTTCTTGTCGCCAGGAGTCGAAATTATACCGGGAGATGTGGAACGGCCCACCCTACATGCCCTATCATTTTCATACCCTGCGGATTTTTTTCCGCAAGAAATCCTTCAAATGAAGATTTTGCAGGAATTTGCACCCAGCTAAAAGTCTCAGTTTTCAACGACAAGTCTGACCAGCAACTCGCCTTGCTTTCCGGAGGTGTGGAAGTGTTTTTGCAGGATGCCCGTCGCCGTCCCAAGCTCTACTGAAGCTACCGGCTCAAGAAAAAATCAATTCGCTTATAAATTAAGTTATAAGCGTTTAGAAATTTATTTGAGATTAGTGTAGCTGCTGTAATGTTGCTGGGGAGTAGCAGAGCCCCAAAAACGCTTCCCATTGCTTGGTTTACTTGTTTTTTGGGGTATAAGAGGTAAGGGACCCCCTAGAGGTGGTTCTCTTTCTCTGTTCGCACCGATGATGCCCGCGAGGACAAAACCGGTTTGCGTCGCACAGTGAACTTGCCCCCCTCGTGGGGTTTCTCCTATCCTTGTGCCTGGTCAGCACCTAAGCTAGGGAACCATTGATTCCTCACGCTCAACGCCTCCTAAAACAATACCTCGCGCCCAAATCGAGCGATAAAACTCGCGTTGGCGGGCTGCTGCAGCTCTGTTTATTTTTTAATCTAAACCCAAACCTGCCTGGCGTGAGCCTTACCCCGCTGGAAGAAGCTGGAGGCCGGCAGCTGTGGTGTTTTGGGATGGCGAAGAGCTAAAGATTTCAATTTCATCTCATTTGCCTTTGTTTTTTTTTCGATTTATCGCAGCAGCTGCATTCACTATACTGCAGTCGCGACTGTTTTTAATAGATTGCGGCCCTGTAAGGGGGCGTCGACGGTCAAGACGGCAGGGGACGGCCCCATCATCACCCTGCCTGTGTGGCGCGACAGGATTCGGCCGCCAGGACGGCCGAATCTTGACTAGAATCGCGCTAGATTGAAGCACGATTCTGGTCAAGATCGCGCTGGGCCCACCTCCTCCTCCTAAGATTCGCCCCCCCTTAAGGCGCGCCCCACTACAGCAGCAGCTACTAATTTCAACAGCAGCAGCTTCAACATGTAAAATTGTCAGCAGCAAAAGCAGAAAAAGTACGTAAACTTTGAGGAAATGCTACGCCGGCATACGACGCCCTTTCGACGCCATTCCAGCGCCATTCAAGTGCATAATTTCCGCCCTTTCTGTGAAGCCTACATTTACACGCCGCCATTTTTCACCCCCCCACCCTCTCCTCCTCTCTCATCATCTCTCATCAACGGGAGGAGTGGGTTGGTCAGCTGCTGAAGTGGAGAGGAGACGCCATGCCCCTGCTTTCAGATGTCGCTCGGCATCATCACCGCCAGCTGGGAGTAACCGGGGTGCACCGGAGGCATCCCGCGAGTATGCAGAAGGTCTTCTACTCGAAAGGGCGTCGTATGCAGGCGTAGCATTTCTTCAAAGTTTACGTTTTTTTTTTTTTTTCTGCTTCTGCTGTTGACGATTTTGAATGTTGAAGCTGCTGCTGTTGAAATTAGTAGCTGCTGCTGTAGTGGGGCGCGTCTTAAGGGGGGGCGAATCTTAGGAGGAGGAGGTGGGCCCAGCGCGATCTTGACCAGAATCGTGCTTCAATCTAGCGCGATTCTGGTCAAGTTTCGGCCGTCCTGGCGGCCGAATCCCGTCGCGCCACACAGGCAGGGGGGATGATGGGGCCGTCCCCTGCCGTCTTGACCGCCGGCGCCCCCTTACAGGGCCGTGATCTGTTAAAAAAACAGTCGCGACTGCAGTATAGTGAATGCAGCTGCTGCGATAAATCGAAAAAAGCAAAGGCAGATGAGATGAAATTGAAATCTTTAGCTCTTCGCCATCCCAAAACACCACAGCTGCCGGCCTCCAGCTTCTTCCAGCAGGGTAAGGCTCACACCAGGCAAGTTCAGGTTTAGATTTAAAAATAAAGCAGAGCTGCAGCAGCCCGCCAACGCAGGTTTTATCGCTCGACTTGGGCGCGAGGTATTGCTTTAAGAGGAGTTGAGCGTGAGAAATCAATGGTTCCCGAGCTTAGGTGCTGACCAGGCACAAGGATAGGAGAAACCCCACGAGGGGGGCAAGTTCACTGTGCGACGCTAAACGGTTTCGCCCTCACGGGCATCATCAGTGCGAACAGAGAAAGAGAACCACCTCTAGGGGGTCCCCTACCTCTTATACCCCAACAAGCAAGTAAATCAAGCAAGGGGAAGCGTTTTTGGGGCTCTGCTACTCCCCAGCAACATTACAACAGCTACACTAATCTCAAATAAATTTCTAAACGCTTATAACTTAATTTATAAGCGAATTGATTTTTTCTTGAGCCGGTAGCTTCAGTAGAGCTTGGGACGGCGACGGGCATCCTGCAAAAATACTTCCACACCTCCAGAAAGCAAGGCGAGTTGTTGGTCAGATTTGTCGTTGAAAACTGGGACTTTTAGCTAGGTGCAAATCCTGCAAAATCTTCATTTGAAGGATTTCTTGCGGTAAAAATTCCGCAGGGTATGAAAATGATCGGTATGTAGAGTGGGCCGTTCCGCATCTCCCGGTATAATTTCGGCTCCTGGCGACAAGAAATTGCCCTCCAAATCCACCAAAAACTGCGGTTTACGCGAAACGGCGTCGGCGAGCGAGGAGTTGAGCGAATGCGACGAAATTGATGGAAGGTGTTGGTGGTGATGTTCCGCACCTCCTGGTGCTGCTGTGGCTCCGGGCGAACTCCTCTCCCCCTCCCAACCCATAGATGCCGGCCTACAGTTTCTTCTGGCGGGATGAAGCTCGCGCCAGGCAGGTTTAGGTTTAGTATTTAGATAAAAACAGCGCAGCGGCATCCCAAGCGCGGGTGCGCTCGTCCCATGGGCATGTGGTGGTGCTTTAGGAGGCGTTGAATGTGTGAGTTGCTATGAGTAGGTGCTGACCATGGCACAAGGAGAGGAGAAGTTCAAAGAGACGGCAAATTGACTGCATGCCGCAAACTGGCTTCGCCCTCGCTGGCATCATAGGTGCGAACAATGAAAAGGATCCAACTCCAGAAGGTCCCCTACTGTTTGTACCAACACAAGCAAGCAAGAGACGCAGGGAAAAAACATTATTTTTAGCTCTGTTAATTCTCAGCAACACTACAAACGCTACACTATTCTCAAACAAATTTTAAATGGCTATAAATATATAATAAATTATAGGCGAATTGGTTTTTCCTTGAGCCGGTAGCTTCAGTAGGGCTTGGAACTTCGACTTGCATCTTGAAAAAATATCTCTGCACCTCCAGAAAGCAAGTGTCGTTGCTGGTCAGGCTCGTCGTGAAAATCTGGGACTTGTGTGGCGTTGCCTCTGTGTGGCGTTGCCTCTGAAACACAGTATTGCCCGATTTTTGCGCGTGGTTGGGCGAATGGGGCAAAAATGATAGGGGATGTTGGGTGGGCTAATCCGCATCTACCGGTGTAGTTTCGCCTTCGAGCGATCGACGTTTCCCTTCCAAACGCACAAAAAGATGTGATTTTCGCATATCTGGGCTGGCGAGCGAGTAGTTGAACGAATGAGGTGAAAAGGATAGGAACTCTTGGGGGGGATGTTTCGTACTTCTGATGTACTTTTGTCTCTGGACGAATTCCTTTCGTCCTTAAACCCCACCAAAACCCGCTAAAAGAGTAGAAATTGCTTGATAGGCGGTTGGAGTAAGTAGCAGTTCCACGCTGCTGCTCTCATCTTGTCGTCCTGCAACAACATTTGAACCTAGCATGGCAGGAATAGGCATCGTGTGAGGCTCGACCGTGCTTGGGGCTCTAAAACCCACGAACTCGCGGAATACCTCCGTTGCACCCTGGTCACTCCTGGCCGGCGGCGATGATGCTAGCTACAATCACGAGGTGCCAATCAGAAACAACTTCATCTCTATCCCTCCCCGCTCCTTCACTGCCACTTTCACCCTTCCACTTGCCCTCTCACACGTAAACCCTCTTGACCACTCACTCTGTGATCCAATTCATGCCCTTCCTCTCGCCTCCCTTCCAGCCTTCCGACGGACATGGGTATGTCGGGCCCCATTCCTCTTACTCACTGCCGGCCCCCACTGTGTCCCCCCCTCCCCCATGTCCCCCATTGCAGCCTGACAGACATGGATTTGTCAGGGCCCATTCCTCTGTAATCTCTCCCCCCTCCTCTCCTCCTTCACCTCCCTTCACGTTGTCACCCCATCTAGCCATCTGACAGACATGGACTTGTCGGGTCCCATTCCCGAATCACCTTACTTACTTCCCCTCCCTCCTTCCCCCCTGTGTCCCCCTCTCCCTTTCATTCTCGCCCCCCCTCCAGCCATCTGACAGACATGGATTTGTCGGGTCCCATTCCTGATTCCTGGGGCCACATGAAGAGCCTCCAGTACTTGTGAGTGTGTGCAGTGCTTGTGAGTGTGTGCAGTGCTTGTGAGTGTGTGCAGTGCTTGTGGGTGTGTGCAGTGCTTGTGAGTGTGCAGTGCTTGTGAGTGTGTGCAGCACTTGAGCGATAAACCCAGCTCAGCAGGGCTGAATGGTAGTGTAAATCCGCCTCACATTTCCTGACTTTGCTGAAATCGAGCTCTTTTTCTCCATACCTCACTGTCTCATCCCCATCCATGAAGCCCCGCCTCTTCGCTTTCCCACACCCAATGCTCCCACCTCTCCCCCCTCTCCTCCCTCTCCCCCCTCTCCCCCCTCTCCCCCCTCCCACCTAGTCCTGCCCTTCCCAATGCCACCCCTTCCATTTCCCCCTGCCATTCATTTGTGCCGCAACAGTATCTCTTCTTTTCCCCCTTCCTGCTCACACACACCCTGTTCCTCTCTCTCCCCCACCCTTTGCCAGCCATTTGAGTGTCAACAATATTTCGGGCACACTTCCCCTCTCACTGGGCCAGCTCACCAACCTTGTTGAATTGTAACCATCTCACCAACCTTGTTGCATTGTAACCATCTCATCAACCTTGTTGAATTGTAACCATCTCACCAACCTTGTTGCATTGTAACCATCTCATCAACCTTGTTGAATTGTAACCATCTCACCAACCTTGTTGCATTGTAACCATCTCATCAACCTTGTTGAATTGTAACCATCTCACCAACCTTGTTGAATCGTAACCATCTCACCAACCTTGTTGTAAGGTAACCAGCTCGCCTTGCTGAAATGTTACCAACCTTGTTGATTTGTAACTAGCCTTGATCCTTTATGATTGCACGAGGCTTGATTTATTTTACCAGCCATCACACCTATTATCACCCACCAGGTCTGTCGACCACAATCCGTTTCTGGAGGGAAAGCTGCCGCCCTGCTGGGCTACCATTCAGTCCCTCGGCATTCTGTACGCCCCTCCCCCTTTGCGCTTTGCCCTACTCTCTTTCCTCCTTCCCTCCTGCACTCCTCCATGTCGCCCTGCTGGGCCACCATTCAGTCCCTCGGCATTCTGTACGCCCCTCCCCCTTTGCGCTTTGCCCTACTCTCTTTTCTCCTTCCCTCCTGCACTCCTCCATGTCGCCCTGCTGGGCCACCATTCAGTCCCTCGGCATTCTGTACGCCCCTCCCCCTTTGCGCTTTGCCCTACTCTCTTTCCTCCTTCCCTCCTGCACTCCTCCATGTCGCCCTGCTGGGCCACCATTCAGTCCCTCGGCATTCTGTACGCCCCTCCCCCTTTGCGCTTTGCCCTACTCTCTTTCCTCCTTCCCTCCTGCACTCCTCCATGTCGCCCTGCTGGGCCACCATTCAGTCCCTCGGCATTCTGTACGCCCCTCCCCCTTTGCGCTTTGCCCTACTCTCTTTCCTCCTTCCCTCCTGCACTCCTCCATGTCGCCCTGCTGGGCCACCATTCAGTCCCTCGGCATTCTGTACGCCCCTCCCCCTTTGCGCTTTGCCCTACTCTCTTTCCTCCTTCCCTCCTGCACTCCTCCATGTCGCCCTGCTGGGCCACCATTCAGTCCCTCGGCATTCTGTACGCCCCTCCCCCTTTGCGCTTTGCCCTACTCTCTTTCCTCCTTCCCTCCTGCACTCCTCCATGTCGCCCTGCTGGGCCACCATTCAGTCCCTCGGCATTCTGTACGCCCCTCCCCCTTTGCGCTTTGCCCTACTCTCTTTCCTCCTTCCCTCCTGCACTCCTCCATGTCGCCCTGCTGGGCCACCATTCAGTCCCTCGGCATTCTGTACGCCCCTCCCCCTTTGCGCTTTGCCCTACTCTCTTTCCTCCTTCCCTCCTGCACTCCTCCATGTCGCCCTGCTGGGCTACCATTCAGTCCCTCGGCATTCTGTACGCCCCTCCCCCTTTGCGCTTTGCCCTACTCTCTTTCCTCCTTCCCTCCTGCACTCCTCCATGTCGCCCTGCTGGGCTACCATTCAGTCCCTCGGCATTCTGTACGCCCCTCCCCCTTTGCGCTTTGCCCTACTCTCTTTCCTCCTTCCCTCCTGCACTCCTCCATGTCGCCCTGCTGGGCCACCATTCAGTCCCTCGGCATTCTGTACGCCCCTCCCCCTTTGCGCTTTGCCCTACTCTCTTTCCTCCTTCCCTCCTGCACTCCTCCATGTCGCCCTGCTGGGCCACCATTCAGTCCCTCGGCATTCTGTACGCCCCTCCCCCTTTGCGCTTTGCCCTACTCTCTTTCCTCCTTCCCTCCTGCACTCCTCCATGTCGCCCTGCTGGGCTACCATTCAGTCCCTCGGCATTCTGTACGCCCCTCCCCCTTTGCGCTTTGCCCTACTCTCTTTCCTCCTTCCCTCCTGCACTCCTCCATGTCGCCCTGCTGGGCTACCATTCAGTCCCTCGGCATTCTGTACGCCCCTCCCCCTTTGCGCTTTGCCCTACTCTCTTTCCTCCTTCCCTCCTGCACTCCTCCATGTCGCCCTGCTGGGCTACCATTCAGTCCCTCGGCATTCTGTACGCCCCTCCCCCTTTGCGCTTTGCCCTACTCTCTTTCCTCCTTCCCTCCTGCACTCCTCCATGTCGCCCTGCTGGGCTACCATTCAGTCCCTCGGCATTCTGTACGCCCCTCCCCCTTTGCGCTTTGCCCTACTCTCTTTCCTCCTTCCCTCCTGCACTCCTCCATGTCGCCCTGCTGGGCTACCATTCAGTCCCTCGGCATTCTGTACGCCCCTCCCCCTTTGCGCTTTGCCCTACTCTCTTTCCTCCTTCCCTCCTGCACTCCTCCATGTCGCCCTGCTGGGCTACCATTCAGTCCCTCGGCATTCTGTACGCCCCTCCCCCTTTGCGCTTTGCCCTACTCTCTTTCCTCCTTCCCTCCTGCACTCCTCCATGTCGCCCTGCTGGGCTACCATTCAGTCCCTCGGCATTCTGTACGCCCCTCCCCCTTTGCGCTTTGCCCTACTCTCTTTCCTCCTTCCCTCCTGCACTCCTCCATGTCGCCCTGCTGGGCTACCATTCAGTCCCTCGGCATTCTGTACGCCCCTCCCCCTTTGCGCTTTGCCCTACTCTCTTTCCTCCTTCCCTCCTGCACTCCTCCATGTCGCCCTGCTGGGCTACCATTCAGTCCCTCGGCATTCTGTACGCCCCTCCCCCTTTGCGCTTTGCCCTACTCTCTTTCCTCCTTCCCTCCTGCACTCCTCCATGTCGCCCTGCTGGGCTACCATTCAGTCCCTCGGCATTCTGTACGCCCCTCGGCATTCTGTACGCCCCTCGGCATTCTGTACGCCCCTCGGCATTCTGTACGCCCCTCGGCATTCTGTACGCCCCTCGGCATTCTGTACGCCCCTCGGCATTCTGTACGCCCCTCGGCATTCTGTACGCCCCTCGGCATTCTGTACGCCCCTCGGCATTCTGTACGCCCCTCGGCATTCTGTACGCCCCTCGGCATTCTGTACGCCCCTCGGCATTCTGTACGCCCCTCGGCATTCTGTACGCCCCTCGGCATTCTGTACGCCCCTCGGCATTCTGTACGCCCCTCGGCATTCTGTACGCCCCTCGGCATTCTGTACGCCCCTCGGCATTCTGTACGCCCCTCGGCATTCTGTACGCCCCTCGGCATTCTGTACGCCCCTCGGCATTCTGTACGCCCCTCGGCATTCTGTACGCCCCTCGGCATTCTGTACGCCCCTCGGCATTCTGTACGCCCCTCGGCATTCTGTACGCCCCTCGGCATTCTGTACGCCCCTCGGCATTCTGTACGCCCCTCGGCATTCTGTACGCCCCTCGGCATTCTGTACGCCCCTCGGCATTCTGTACGCCCCTCGGCATTCTGTACGCCCCTCGGCATTCTGTACGCCCCTCGGCATTCTGTACGCCCCTCGGCATTCTGTACGCCCCTCGGCATTCTGTACGCCCCTCGGCATTCTGTACGCCCCTCGGCATTCTGTACGCCCCTCGGCATTCTGTACGCCCCTCGGCATTCTGTACGCCCCTCGGCATTCTGTACGCCCCTCGGCATTCTGTACGCCCCTCGGCATTCTGTACGCCCCTCGGCATTCTGTACGCCCCTCGGCATTCTGTACGCCCCTCGGCATTCTGTACGCCCCTCGGCATTCTGTACGCCCCTCGGCATTCTGTACGCCCCTCGGCATTCTGTACGCCCCTCGGCATTCTGTACGCCCCTCGGCATTCTGTACGCCCCTCGGCATTCTGTACGCCCCTCGGCATTCTGTACGCCCCTCGGCATTCTGTACGCCCCTCGGCATTCTGTACGCCCCTCGGCATTCTGTACGCCCCTCGGCATTCTGTACGCCCCTCGGCATTCTGTACGCCCCTCGGCATTCTGTACGCCCCTCGGCATTCTGTACGCCCCTCGGCATTCTGTACGCCCCTCGGCATTCTGTACGCCCCTCGGCATTCTGTACGCCCCTCGGCATTCTGTACGCCCCTCGGCATTCTGTACGCCCCTCGGCATTCTGTACGCCTTCCTGCTTTCCACCCATGCGCTCCCCCTTGCGCCCCCTCCTGCTCTCGCTACCCTGCTGGGCCACCATTCAGTCCCTCGGCACTGAATGGTTGGCCCCTACCCCCTATCCCTACGCCTCCCTAACCCCCTACCTACCCTCTACTCCCTTGTACTCCCCTTCTCCATCCTCTTCTCCCTCCCCTGCTCCCTCCCCTGCTCCCTCCCCTACCCTCACCTCTGCTCTTCCCCCTGCTCTCCTTCTTCCCCTGCTCTCCCCCCTGCTCTCCTCTCTTCTCTCCCCTGCTCTGCACTCTCCCCTGCTCTCTCCCCTTCTCTCTCCCCTGCTGTCCCCCCTTCTCTCCTCCTTTCTCTCCCCTGCTATCTCCCCTGCTCCCTCTCCTAATTCCCCTCCTTTCTCTCCCCTGCACTCTCCCCTGCTTTTTGCCCCTATTCCTTCACTCATGCCCATGTGCCACCAAGATGCTCTGTCCCACGTGCCCTGTGGACCCCTGCTGTCCCAGTCCCCCCAGTATCCACCCACCACTCTCCCTTTCTGTCCCCTCTCTTTTCCCTTCTTTCCGCTCTCTTCCCCCCTATTTCCCCATCCCTCACCAACACCAGGCTCCACTGTCCCACGAGCCCCGTCGACTCCTGCTGTCTTGGCACCCTTAAGATGCCCTATTGCTCCTATTCTCCGCCATTTCCCCCCCCCCCCCCCCCCCCCCCCCCCCCCCCCCCCCCCCCCCCCCCCCCCGCCCCCACCATCCCCTCGCATCAGCACGCTCACCAACACCAGGCTACACTGTCCCATGAGCCCTGTCGACTCCTGCTGCCCCGGCACCCTTCAGAGCGACCCGCCCTATTGTTCCTACTCTCCCCCATTTCCCCGTTTCCCCTTCCCCCCTCACCCCCTCGCATCAGCACGCTCACCAACACCAGGCTACACTGTCCCACGAGCCCTGTTGACTCCTGCTGCCCCGGCGCCCTGCAGACAGACCTGCCCTACTGCTCCCCCATCTGCCACGACTTCTGCAGAGCCTGTCAGCCGCCAGGTAACCCTCTCTTTCGTGACCAGGTAACCCTCTCTTTCGTGACCAGGTAACCCTCTCTTTCGTGACCATGTAACCCTCTCTTTCGTGACCAGGTAACCCTCTCTTTCGTGACCAGGTAACCCTCTCTTTCGTGACCAGGTAACCCTCTCTTTCGTGACCAGGTAACCCTCTCTTTTGTGACCACGTAACCCTCTCTTTCGTGACCAGGTAACCCTCTCTTTCGTGACCAGATAACCCTCTCTTTCGTGACCAGATAACCCTCTCTTTCGTGACCAGGTAACCCTCTCTTTCGTGACCAGGTAACCCTCTCTTTCGTGACCAGGTAACCCTCTCTTTCGTGACCAGGTAACCCTCTCTTTCGTGACCAGGTAACCCTCTCTTTCGTGACCAGGTAACCCTCTCTTTCGTGACCACGTAACCCTCTCTTTCGTGACCAGGTAACCCTCTCTTTCGTGACCAGGTAACCCTCTCTTTCGTGACCACGTAACCCTCTCTTTCGTGACCAGGTAACCCTCTCTTTTGTGACCACGTAACCCTCTCTTTCGTGACCACGTAACCCTCTCTTTCGTGACCAGGTAACCCTCTCTTTCGTGACCAGGTAACCCTCTCTTTCGTGACCAGGTAACCCTCTCTTTCGTGACCAGGTAACCCTCTCTTTCGTGACCAGGTAACCCTCTCTTTCGTGACCAGGTAACCCTCTCTTTCGTGACCAAGTAACCCTCTCTTTCGTGACCAGGTAACCCTCTCTTTTGTGACCAGGTAACCCTCTCTTTCGCGACCACGTAACCCTCTCTTTCGTGACCAGGTAACCCTCTCCTTTGTGACCACGTAACCCTCTCTTTCGTGACCAGGTAACCCTCTCTTTCGTGACCAGGTAACCCTCTCTTTCGTGACCAGGTAACCCTCTCTTTCGTGACCAGGTAACCCTCTCTTTTGTGACCACGTAACCCTCTCTTTCGTGACCAGGTAACCCTCTCTTTCATGACCAGGTAACCCTCTCTTTCGTGACCAGGTAACCCTCTCTTTCGTGACCAGGTAACCCTCTCTTTCGTGACCAGGTAACCCTCTCTTTCGTGACCAGGTAACCCTCTCTTTCGTGACCAGGTAACCCTCTCTTTCGTGACCAGGTAACCCTCTCTTTCGTGACCAGGTAACCCTCCCTTTCGTGACCAGGTAACCCTCTCTTTCGTGACCAGGTAACCCTCTCTTTCGTGACCAGGTAACCCTCTCTTTCATGACCAGGTAACCCTATCTTTCGTGACCAGGTAACCCTCTCTTTCGTGACCAGGTAACCCTCCCTTTCGTGACCAGGTAACCCTCTCTTTCGTGACCAGGTAACCCTCTCTTTCGTGACCATGTAACCCTCTCTTTCGTGACCAGGTAACCCTCTCTTTCGTGACCAGGTAACCCTCTCTTTCGTGACCAGGTAACCCTCTCTTTCGTGACCAGGTAACCCTCTCTTTCGTGACCAGGTAACCCTCTCTTTTGTGACCACATAACCCTCTCTTTCGTGACCAGGTAACCCTCTCTTTCGTGACCAGGTAACCCTCTCTTTCGTGACCAGGTAACCCTCCCTTTCGTGACCAGGTAACCCTCTCTTTCGTGACCAGGTAACCCTCTCTTTCGTGACCAGGTAACCCTCTCTTTTGTGACCAGGTAACCCTCTCTTTCGTGACCAGGTAACCCTCTCTTTCGTGACCACGTAACCCTCTCTTTCGTGACCAGGTAACCCTCTCTTTCGTGACCAGGTAACCCTCTTTTTCGTGACCATGTAACCCTCTCTTTCGTGACCAGGTAACCCTCTCTTTCGTGACCAGGTAACCCTCTCTTTCGTGACCACGTAACCCTCTCTTTCGTGACCAGGTAACCCTCTCTTTTGTGACCACGTAACCCTCTCTTTCGTGGCCAGGTAACCCTCTCTTTCGTCACCAGGTAACCCTCTCTTTCGTGACCAGGTAACCCTCCCTTTCGTGACCAGGTAACCCTCTCTTTCGTGACCAGGTAACCCTCTCTTTCGTTACCAGGTAACCCTCTCTTTCGTGACCAGGTAACCCTCTCTTTCGTGACCAGGTAACCCTCTCTTTCGTGACCAGGTAACCCTCTCTTTCGTGACCACGTATCCCTCTCTTTCGTGACCAGGTAACCCTATCTTTCGTGACCAGGTAACCCTCTCTTTCGTGACCACGTAACCCTCTCTTTCGTGACCAGGTAACCCTCTCTTTCGTGACCAGGTAACCCTCTCTTTCGTGACCACGTAACCCTCTCTTTTGTGACCAGGTAACCCTCTCTTTCGTGACCAGGTAACCCTATCTTTCGTGACCAGGTAACCCTCTCTTTCGTGACCAGGTAACCCTCTCTTTCATGACCATGTAACCCTCTCTTTCGTGACCAGGTAACCCTCTCTTTCGTGACCAGGTAACCCTCTCTTTCGTGACCAGGTAACCCTCTCTTTCGTGACCAGGTAACCCTCTCTTTCGTGACCAGGTAACCCTCTCTTTTGTGACCAGGTAACCCTCTCTTTCGTGACCAGGTAACCCTCTCTTTCGTGAATTCTCATAAGTCACCACCACGTAACCCTTTCGCACCCTTCAGACCGACCTGTCCCACTGCTCCCCCATCTGCCACGACTTCTGCAAAGCCTGCCGACCACCCCGTAACCTCCTCTCTACATGCAATTCTTGCTACTTGCCTGCCCCTCTTTCATGCGCTCTTCTCCCACAAGGCACATCACCTCCCTCTTTCTCAGCTGCACCACCAAACCCACTCCCCTTCTCGTGCTGTTCGCTCTTATTGCGTTCTCTCGTCCTTTCTGCCATCTCCTAGTTACTCCACTTCTCCGCTTCCTGTTTGAGTGTTTGAAAAGCAGGACCTGACACCTGTAGGTCGTCGGGCCAACTGTGCATGCAAGCTGTGGGCCTTTTGAGTCGACTCAAAAGTCTCCTGTTTGAGTGTTTAGAAAGCAGGACCTGACACCTGTAGGTCGTCGGGCCAACTATGCATGCAAGCTGTGGGCCCACCAGCTGACCCGCAGTACTTATCCTCAGCTAACTTCCAATGTCCCTGTCTCTCCATACCATTCCGCATTCCCTTCTGTGGCCCGACCACCAGCCCTGTCGCCAGCAGTTATGGCATGCATCGTGGAGGGGAGTGTGGTGCTGCTGATGGCAGTGCTGCTTCAAATGTGGCACCGCCTATCTCCCCCCAACCCAACCCACCCATCGACCCGCCCATTCCCCTTGTACCCTATGCCCACCAGTGCTCTGTGCTGTGTGGTGCTGCTGCTTGCTGGGTTTGATCCAACCCTCCCATCCACCCATCCATTGCGGTGGGGAGTGTGGTGCTGCTCTTTCTGCTCTCCTTGTGGCCCTGCTTATCTCCTCCCAATCCAATCCACCTACACACTCTCTCCCCATCCCCCCTGCACCATCCGTCCGCCCACCAGTGCTGTCGACAGCAGAGATTGGGATGGGGAGTGTGGTACTGCTCTTTTTGCTCTCCCTATGGCTCTGCTTGTATCCCCCTGATCCAACACACCTATCCACTCTCTCTCCAACCCCCCTGCACCGTCCGTCCGCCCACAAGTGCTATCGACAGGAAGCATCGCTGGTATTGTGGTGGGCTGTGTGGTGCTGCTGCTTGCGGTGCTACTCTTTGTGTGGCACCACTTATCTCTCCTTAATCCAACCCACCCTCCCATCCACCCTTGCATCGTCTGCCCACCAGTGCTGTCGACAGCAAGTATCGCTGGTATTGTGGTGGGCTGTGTGGTGTTTGTGGTGCTGTTGCTGCTCGTTCTGCTCTATGTGTGGTATTACTACTGGGGACCCGGCAGCCGCAAGGGTGAGTATGCAAGTGAGGTGCGTGAGTGTGTGGGGTGGGTGTTGCTGCTTGCAGCACTGCTCGTTCTGCAGTGTGCGGTACTACTACTGGGGACCAGGCAGCCACAAGGGTGAGTGGGGCGAGGGCGCGTGGGTGCAATGGTGAGTGAGGTGGTGGGGATGTGCGTGAGGTGAGTTGTGTGGTGCTGCTCTTTCTGCTCTATGTGTCGTACTACTACTAAGGACCAGGCATGCGTAAAGGTGAGCATTAAGCCTATAAACTCTTACAGATAAGTTTTGACATATTTATTTTTACTTGAAAATTTTGAAAGCTCTGAAACCCTCGCACACACCTATGACACACCGAATGTTCGACACACGAGAAAAACAGAAAACCCACACGACATGCAAGCGACAACGTGGCATGCGAATGCCAAAAACTCGCTATTGGCGCAACACACACATTCGACATCATGACTCATCATTCATACCCGCATATACGCATGGAATGTTATATTTCATGCCCTGGTGTCATTCAACGCAACACAAGCTGAGTATAAACCATGAGGTTGCACCAACAATGTGCACGTAAGGCATGAGTGTGCACAAGTGGCATACGTGAGCACAAACAAATGGCATGTCACGTGGTTGCGCTTGTCTGGTCCTATTACCAAGCCAACAAGGGCGTGGGAGGGTTGCGAGCATCATCAGTCATCGGCGCTCGCGAATGAAGAGCACCCGCTGCACTTCCTGCATTTGTGCGGATCCTTCCCCGTTTTTGGGGTGGAAGCGCTTGTTCCAAGTGTTTTTCTTCCACTGGGTCATGTCACTGCGCTTGTCTGGTCTTATTACCAAGCCAGCAAGGGCTAGAGATGAGCATTTGCCCCGCGCGGGTCGGGCCGGCCCGACCCGACCCGTGGTTTAGCCCAGGTCGGGTCAGTGGATTCAATAGCCTGCCCCGTGCGGGCCGACCTGACCCGACCCGACCCGGGCTAAAACCCGACCCGAGCATGGGACTCGGGCCGAGTCGGGTCGGGTTTCGGGTCAGCTTTCGGGTCGGGATTTGGGAAATCGGGTCGGGACCTGAAACCCTAACACATTCTATGTCAAGGGTAATTTTTTCCCCTCAACATCATCCAGCGACCTAAGGCACCTAGGAACCATAACTACGTAGTTTGCAGCCAAAGAATGATGCGACAAGTTAGAAGTCGACTTTGTGGAGAGGCTCAATGTCGAGAGATCGGTAAAGAGTGGGAGGGGGGGGGTGGGAATGGTAGATTTAGTGCGGTAAGGAGTGGTGAGCAGTGGCGAAATGGTTGGAAATATTAGTTCCAACACATTCGTCGGAAACGAGTGCCACGGCGAAACTCCCAAACTCCACCAGATCGACCAGCGAAATTGACGATTTGCAGAGTTACGTCAACGAACTCACTGATCTGCGCAGATCGGTGGGCGAAATCGCCGATCTGCGCAGATCGGCGGGCGAAATCGCCGATCTGCGCAGATCGGCGGACGAAAGCGCCGATTTGCATAGAGCGCGGGCTAAATCGGGTCTCCTGACCCGACCCGACCCGGTCCGAGCCGAAGTTGGGACAGGGTCAGCCCGGCCCTGTACCCCCGGGTCGGGTCAGGGTATTCAACATCCTGGCCGGAGGCTGGCCCGACCCGACCCGGCCCGGAACCCGCTCGACCCGGCCAAGTCGGGTCGGGCCGGGCCAAATGCTCACCTCTAGCAAGGGCGTGGGAGGGTTGCGAGCATCATCGGTAATCGGCGCTCGCGAATGAAGAGCGCCTGCTGCACTTCCTGCACATGTGCGGATCCTTCCGCGTTTTAGGGGTGTGCATGAATGGCATGTTTATGCACAAATATGATTCATGTGCACAAATGGCATGTGTGAGCACATGGTATGCATGAGTGGGAACTTGAACCATTACATACATGATAAGCAACTTCTTGCCCTCTTCGCTTACCTTTGTTTTTTCCCTCCTTCTCTGTGTCCCCAATCCTCTCCCCACTCCTCCCTCTCTGTCTAGTGTGGGAGAGGGCTTTAGGAGGTACTGATGATGCCACTCCTCCATCCCGCCTCTGTGCCCTCTACCCTCTACCCTTCCCCTTCCCCCGTAAGCAGCATGGGAGAGGGAGCTACTGCAGGGCTTCAGGAGGTACCAACGATGCCATTCCTGTGCACTCCCCCCCTCCCTTTTCTGTCCAGCATGGGAGAAAGAGTTGAAGCAGGGCTTCAGGAAGTACACGTGGAGGGAGGTGATGGAGGCGACCAACCAGCTGAGCCCCAACAACCTTCTCGGCAAGGGCGGCTTCGGCTCCGTCTACTGGGGCGTCATCGGCGGGGAGCAGCAGCGCAGTGGGTGGAGCTCGCATGTGTGGAAGAGAGCCGGGGCCAGCAGCAAATCAAAAAGCAGTTTCATGAGTGGGGGAATTGGCGCGAGTGGGAGCACGACCTCTCTGGTTGAAGCTGCTGCTGGTGCGAAGGGTGTGGAGTCGGACGGCAATGTGGTCGTCAATGCTGATGGTTCGGGCGGCGCTATGCGTGGGGCGGGTGGCGGTGTGGGTGTGGTGGGCGGCATGGAGGTGGCGATCAAGCGGGCGGCTGCTGTGGAGCGATCGACCAGTATTGCCACCATGTTTGAAGAGGAGGTTAGTGGTGTGATGCGGTGTGATGCGTGCAAAGAGACACTCTTACACTGGGAACTGGACTACGGGGGAATGCATGGGTGGTACGAGTAATCGTAGCGTTTGATCTTGCTCTCTTTTTGCGCATTCACAAGGCCAATTTTCAAGAGGTTCATTAGCAGAAGGATTTCACAATGATACAGAATGCATTTGCAACAACGATTACATCAGTGACCTAACAACCTAGCACCCAGGCAGGTCAACCTCAGCACAGCACGGGGCGCCCCGCCAGCAGTGCAAGTCGACACCGCGCCAGCACTGTTGAGAGGCGGCATGTCAACGTTGCAAGTCGGCGAGCTGCCAGCACTGCACCAAGGCGGTTTGCCAACGCTGAAGCAAGGCGGCCTGCCAGCATTGCACCGTGTGTGCCTACTTCGCACATGTATGCGCATGTGCGTGTGCCTACGTCGCAGAGGCTGGGTGACAGTCGCGCACGTCGTGCACCGCCACGCACATTGCGCAGGTGCCAAGTCGGCCACGTGCCAACGGTTGCGCCAGATGTGCTACGTCGACCTCGGGATACCAGCCCGAGGTCGGCTTCACCAAAACCACCTGGGCGACGTACGCGTGCCCCCGCAGAACCTCATCAACCAGGTAACTAGGTCTGTCGGTCGGGTAATGTCCCCGGCGGCCTCAGGTCGGCGACCACCCACGTTGAAGTTGGAGGCTGCACAGTGGCGCCGGGGAAGTCAACCACCCAAGTCGGCTTCTACCACTGACAGCAGCCGGCTGCGCCTCCCGTGTACCCGATCACAAAGTCGGCTTCTCCCAAGCGAGGGCGGGGGCATTTCTTATTAACAATGCGGTGTGGTGTGGTGTGATGTGGTGCGGCGTGGTGGCAAGGAGGAAGTCAGTGATGTACCTAAGAGCCTGAGTGGGGATAGATTAGGAAGGGATCCAGAAGAGGCCATGGGCCACAGGTTTGGAATGGAAGCCCATAAAAAGTCAACTTTTTATTGAGCCTCCTTTTTATGTATATGAGTGAGAAATTCAGCTCAGCCCACATCGTGACGCTATAGAGATGACCGTTGTTTAGTTAGAATAGGACATGGTATATTATTGATGATAGTGAGTGGCGTGGTGTGTTTGAGCATTGCCAACAATTATTGGCTCCACCAATAAGTTGGCTTATGAGTTTATTGACGAGGGGACTATAGGTTTACCACATTTGAATATATTTATTCTTCCATGCCACCATGCCCCCATGCCACCACGCCATCATGCCCACCACGCCTGGCAGGTGAAGGCGGTGCCCAAGTTGAGCCACAATCATTGTGATGCCACTATGTCACCCGGCCCCCTCCCCGCCTGGCATGGCAGGTGAAGGCGGTGTCCAAGTTGAGCCACAAGAACCTCGTGCGCCTCCTCGGCTACTGCAACGAGAACAATGAGCAGGTGTGCCCTATCCACCCTTGCTGCTACCATGCTGTCCTACCCTTGCTGCTGCTCTACTGCTTACCCTTCAACCTTCCCACGCCCCCTCGGCTACTGCAACGAGAGCAACGAGCAGGTGTGCCCTACCGCTTACCCTTCAACCTTCTCATGTCCCCTCGGCTACTGCAACGAGAGCAACGAGCAGGTGTGCCCTACCGCTTACCCTTCAACCTTCTCATGCCTCCTCGGCTACTGCAACGAGAGCAACGAGCAGGTGTGCCCTACCGCTTACCCTTCAACCTTCTCATGCCTCCTCGGCTACTGCAACGAGAGCAACGAGCAGGTGTGCCCTACCGCTTACCCTTCAACCTTCTCATGCCTCCTCGGCTACTGCATCGAGAGCAACGAGCAGGTGTGCCCTACCGCTTACCCTTCAACCTTCTCATGCCTCCTCGGCTACTGCAACGAGAGCAACGAGCAGGTGTGCCCTACCGCTTACCCTTCAACCTTCTCATGCCTCCTCGGCTACTGCAACGAGAGCAACGAGCAGGTGTGCCCTACCGCTTACCCTTCAACCTTCTCATGCCTCCTCGGCTACTGCAACGAGAGCAACGAGCAGGTGTGCCCTACCGCTTACCCTTCAACCTTCTCATGCCTCCTCGGCTACTGCAACGAGAGCAACGAGCAGGTGTGCCCTACCGCTTACCCTTCAACCTTCTCATGCCTCCTCGGCTACTGCAACGAGAAGGTGCGCCTTTGTGTCAACAAATGCCACCTTCATCTCGTAGCACATGTTATCCCGCCTCTCTGCAGCTGACGTCCTCATATCTCGTCTCTCTGAAGCTGACGTCGTCATATCTTACCACATAACAACCTTTTCACGGATGAACCACACATGTACCACACCAAGCTGTTGAGAGCCTAGCCAACGCTTTTTTACGAGTTTGTGCGCACCGGGTAAACATCAATGTCTGCTCCTCCCTCGATTACCTCTTGACGATCACATGTGGATGTTGGTTGTGTCCGCATGACAAGCCCATGGTCTTAATATGCTTGCTAGCACACTGAGCAGCATTGACTCCCTAAATTTTCATGTTATATCCCCCCCGGCAGGTGCTTACGAGTTCGTACTGAGAGGCTGCATTAATTCAAACACGCATTCATTCCTCAACCCCTCTAGGTACTGGTGTACAAGTATGTGCGCAACGGCCCTCTGAGCGACCATCTATATGCCAAGTTCCAAGGGCAGCTGATGCACGCATCATTACGCCATCCTCCCCCCCTCCTCTCTCCTTTTTTTAATTTCCCCCTCAACAAGTGTTGGTGGACGAGTATGTGCGCAACGGCCCACTGAGCGACCGACCACCTTTACGCGCAGTTCCAAGGCCACCTGCTGACCTTTGAGGAGCGGCTAGACGTGGGCTTTAGTGCCAGTGCTCCTCTCCCTCCATTCAGGTGTTGGTGTACGAGTATGTGCGCAACGGCCCTCTGAGCGACCACCTGTACGCGCAGTTCCAAGGGCACCTGCTGACCTTTGAGGAGCGGCTGGATGCGGCGCTGGGATTGGCGGAGGGGCTTAGGTACCTGCACTGCCACGCAGAGAAGCCTATTGTTCACCGCGACATCAAACCCTGCAACGTGCTGCTCACAGAGGACTACCAGGTGGGTGGAATGCGGTAACAGTGGGTATCACAAGGTGTTAGTGAGAGAGGGGCTTAGGTACCTGCACTGCCATGCAGAGAAGCCGATTGTTCACCGCGACATCAAGCCCTGAAACGTGCTGCTCACAGAGGACTACCAGGTGGGTGGAATGCGGTAACGCAGGGTATCTCAAGGTGCCAGTGAGATGAGCTCAAGTACCTTCACTCCACTGCCACGCGGAGAATTCATCGTGCATCGTGACATCAAGCCCTGCAACGTGCTGCTCACAGAGGAGTATCAGGTAAGGGGAAGGCAACCACGACGTATCACAAGGCAGCACATCACAGAAGGTGATTACTTGCTGCACTTAAAGCCTCTAGCAGCATGTAACGATTGTGAGGAGATAAACAATCCTTACTAGGTACAACTCCAACCCAATAACGCTACACCGGGTACAATCCAAACTCCCGGAATTACTCAGAATGAATTGCTCGGCCTGATCTCCTCGAACACGAGGTTTTGTCGACCTCGAGGTTACCTCGCCTCGAGTCACTTCGGACTTCGCCTGCTCAACCTGTGCTGACTTCGCCTGCTCAACCTGTGCTGACTTCGCCTGCTCAACCTGTGCTGACTTCGCCTGCTCAACCTGTGCTGACTTCGCCTGCTCAACCTGTGCTGACTTCGCCTGCTCAACCTGTGCTGACTTCGCCTGCTCAACCTGTGCTGACTTCGCCTGCTCAACCTGTGCTGACTTCGCCTGCTCAACCTGTGCTGACTTCGCCTGCTCAACCTGTGCTGACTTCGCCTGCTCAACCTGTGCTGACTTCGCCTGCTCAACCTGTGCTGACTTCGCCTGCTCAACCTGTGCTGACTTCGCCTGCTCAACCTGTGCTGACTTCGCCTGCTCAACCTGTGCTGACTTCGCCTGCTCAACCTGTGCTGACTTCGCCTGCCCAACCTGTGCTAAACCTCGAATTCCGAGGTCCCTGCCTAGCCGAGTCCCTCGTTAAGCCCTCATTTGCACGTTGTACTCTTCAGTCATATCTTCGATGTTCGTAGCCGACTTTGGCCTGCTGAGAAGAAGGATAGCTCTCACGGGCACACAACCCACCTCCCCTCCCCCTCGTGGATGTACTTCTCACTCACACTCTTGCATGTGAAGATAGCTGACTTTGGGCTGCTGAGAAGAAGAAAATCTCTCTTACAGGCACACCCTCACACCCTCACACCCTCACACCCTGTCTTTCACACTCTTGCAGGTGAAGATTGCTGACTCCGGGCTGCTGAGAAGAAGGCAGGCTCTCACGGGCACACAACCCACCTCCCCTCCCCCTCGTGGATGTACTTCTCACACTCTTGCAGGTGAAGATAACTGACTTTGGCCTGCTGAGAAGAGAAAAATCTCTCTTAAAGGCATACCCTCACACCCTCACACCCTGTCTTTCACACTCTTGCAGGTGAAGATAGCTGACTTTGGGCTGCTGAGAAGAGAAAAATCTCTCTTAAAGGCATACCCTCACACCCTCACACCCTGTCTTTCACACTCTTGCAGGTTAAGATTGCCGACTTTGGGCTGCTGAGGAGAAGAAGAGCTCTCACGAGCACACAAACCCGCCCCCATGGACGTACTTGCCACACTCTTGCAGGTGAAGAACGCTGGCTTTGGGCTGTTGAGAAGAAGAAAAGCCCTCACAGGCACACCCTCACACCCTGTCTTTCACACTCTTGCAGGTAAAGATTGCTGACTCCGGGCTGCTGAGAAGAAGGCAGGCTCTCACGGGCACACAACCCACCTCCCCTCCCCCTCGTGGATGTACTTCTCACACTCTTGCAGGTGAAGATAACTGACTTTGGCCTGCTGAGAAGAGAAAAATCTCTCTTAAAGGCATACCCTCACACCCTCACACCCTGTCTTTCACACTCTTGCAGGTGAAGATAGCTGACTTTGGGCTGCTGAGAAGAGAAAAATCTCTCTTAAAGGCATACCCTCACACCCTCACACCCTGTCTTTCACACTCTTGCAGGTGAAGATAGCTGACTTTGGGCTGCTGAGGCTGCTGGACGATGGGGCGGCCAGGGAGGGCGCGTACACGCGTGTGGCGGGCACACAGAGACACACCTTCATAGGATGTCTCACACGTATTCACACACACACACAGCTTGTGCCACACAAACCTGTCTTTCACTCTCTTGCAGGTGAAGATAGCTGACTTCGGGCTGTTAAGGCTGCTGGACGATGGGGCGGCCAGGGAGGGCGCGTACACGCGAGTGGCGGGCACGAGGGGGTATCTGGACCCCGAGTACATGACGTGTGAGAAGGTGTCCACGGCAAGTGACGTGTACAGGTGGGTTTGGGTAGGTGTGAATGGGTGTGTGTGGGTGTAAGGGGGTATCTGGACCCCGAGTACATGACGTGCGAGAAGGTCTCGACTGCGAGTGACGTGTACAGGTGGGCATGGATGTGTACGGATTGTGTGTGTGGGTGTGGGGCGACCAAGGCGGGCACGAGGGGGTATCTGGACCCCGAGTACATGACGTGTGAGAAGGTCTCCACAGCGAGCGATGTCTACAGGTGGGTGCGAGTGCGGTGTTCACAGGTATGTGAGGTGGGAGGCATGGCGGGCACGAGGGGTTATCTGGACCCCGAGTATATGACGTGTGAGAAGCTCTACGGCAAGCGATGTCTACAGGTGGGTGTGATGTGAGTGGGGTGGGTACAGGTGTGTGAGGTGGGAGGGGTGGCGGGCACGAGGGGTTATCTGGACCCCGAGTACATGACGTGTGAGAAGGTGACTACGGCGAGCGATGTGTATAGGTGGGTGTGTGTGTGGGTGTGTATGAGCGCAGTGTGCACAGGGGGGAAGAGGGGTGCGAGTGGGAGTTTGAACTGGTGGGTGTCTGTGCGATTGGGTGTTTGTACAGAGGTGTGTGTGTGAGTGGGTGTGTGGTGAGTAAATGGGACGTCAAGAGCGTCTGGGTCACCTTCAAAGGCTAGCAGCATGGCGCTGAGATGAGGAGCAGTGGTCACAAAGAAGGTCAGCTCGTACTCCCTGTCATCTGGGACCTCCATGCCAGAGGCAGGAGCACCTCCGAGAGACTGACAGTGCGCAGTGAGTTGAGTTTGAGGCGCCTCAAAACTCAAGTCAGAGCAGCGGCTACAAAGAAGGCCGCCTCGTACTGCCTGTCCTCTGGGACCTCCATGCCAGGGGCAGGAGCACCTCCGAGGGACTGAGGATGGGCAGAACCAGACACCAACTGAATGGCATAGTCAAGGCGGTGGGTGGAGACAAAGTTTTTGACAGCAGCGACAAGAACAGAAACAGACTGGACGGAGCAGTGGAGTCAATGATTAAGGAGGAAAGAACACGGGAGACTATAGGATGAGCCGTATGAAGAACGCCAGAGAATGAAGGAGAGGCAGGAAGGGGCGACTGAGGAGGTGACAGTACGACTGCAGATGCGTGTATGAGTGGGTGTGTGTGCATGCATGTGGGTGTGGGTGGGTCCCTTCGCATGTGTGCATGTGTGGGTGAGCATGTGTGTATTTGTGTACAGGTCTGTGTGAGAGTGCTACGTGTGTGGGTATGTGTTAGTGCAGTGTGGGTGGACGCTCATTCCTATGATGATGAAAACAGGAACACATGTCCTTGGATGTGCATACACCTAAGTTGCAGTGCAGACACCAGGGGATAAGTCCAACTTGCCTGCTGCGCTCCCACTACTGGTGTTCTCCCTTCGTTCCCACTACTTGTATTCTCTCTCTCATTCCCATGGCTCCACTCTTCTCATTGTGTGTCCCACTTTCCCTTGAATTTGTGTTTTTCATCCCCCTCGTTCCCTGCCCGCTGTTGCCCCTTGCATTCCTTGTGAGCCGCCCACCAGCTACGGCATGCTGCTGCTGGAGATGGTAACAGGCCGGGCAGCCATGGTCAAGGACCCATATTTCAGGAAGGGAGGATTATCTTTCCATGACTGTGACATTTTCCCATGTCTCTGCCCTCAATTGGACCTTCCAGCTACGGTGTGTTGCTGCTGGAGATGGTAACAGGGCGGCCAGCCACGGCCAGGGATCCGGAGGATGAGTCTTGCCTCATCCACATCACCACCTGGGTGAGCTCTCATGCCCACATCACCACCTAGTGACCTTGCCTTCAATCCACTTGAGTCACGCACATTTCCCATCACAGCTCCTTTGGTGCCTCTCACTGCCTCGTGCCCACTCTCTCGTCCTCCCTACCTCGTCCAACCTGTCTCATTCTCTTTGTCTCGTGCTCCCCCTCTCATTGCCCCTTACTAGAGTTCCCCCTCTCATTCTCCCTGTGTCGTGCCCCCCTTGTCTCCCTCCTCTCCCCTCCCCCTCCCCCTCCCCCCCCCTCCCCCTCCCCTCCACCTGACAGTACCATACATTCAGCAAGAGATGCCTCGCCTCACCTCTATGTCACCTCACCTCTATGTCACCTCACTTATTTTGCCATCCCCCCGTAATCCAACACACAACCTCCCCCACTTATCCTCCCCCCCTACCACCAGGCAGTGCCGTACATTCACCTGCCATATCATCTTCTCCCCTTCCCTCTTTCCCCTTTCCCCCTCTCCACCACGCGTTGCCATACATAGAGAGCGGGGAGATGTGAATCACCTGCCATATCGTCTTCCCCTTCTTTCCCCCCACCCCCACCCCCCTTCCCACCAGGCAGTGCCATGCATAGAGAGAGGGGAGATGTGATTCACGTGCATCTCATCATCCCCCTTCCCCACCCCCTCCCCCATTCCCCTCAAGGCTGTGCCGTAGATAGAGAGCAGGAAGATGTAAATCACGTGCCATTTCGTCTTCTCCTTCTTTCCCCCCATCCCCATCCCCCAGCCCCCCATCCCCCACCCCCCTTCCCCCCCCACCAGACAGAGCCGTACATAGAGAGCAGGAAGATGTGACTCACCTGCCATCTCATCATCCCCCTTCCCCACCCCCCCCCATCCCCTCAAGTCGGTGCCGTAGCTAGAGAGCCGGGAGATCTGGGTGATAGCGGCTGTGCGCAGCACCTCCCTTTCTATGTCTCCTCATCTATTGTGCCATCCTCTCGGCTTCTCACACCCCCCCACCAGGCGGTGCCATACATAGAGAGCGGGGAGGTCCGGATGATAGCGGACGTGCGCATCTCCTCTCCTAGCCCTCACCCATTGTTGCCCGCCTCCCCACCCCCCTTTCCCCAGGCGGTGCCTTACATCAATCGTGGGGGAGATCCGCGTGATAGCGGACGCGCGCATCGCGTCGCCGCTGAACCTGCCCTTTCTGCTGCGCATGGCTCGCACCGCCACCCTCTCACCTATTGTGCCATCCTTCCTCCCCCCCATCAGGCGGTGCCATACATAGAGAGCGGGGAGATCCGAGAGATAGCGGACGCGCGCATCGCGTCGCCGCTGAACCTGCCCTTTCTGCTGCGCATGGCTCGCACCGCCACCCTCTGCGTGCACCTGCCGTCCACACGCCGCCCCGACATGGCTGACGTGGCGCGCGTCATGCTGGACGCCCGCAGAGGCTTCCATGCCGCTGCCGCTGCCGCTGCTGCCGGCGCCTCTGCCCTCGCTGCTGCCGGTGGTGCTGCTGCTGCTGGTGGTGCTGCTGGTGGGGGGCCGGGGGTGCAGGGAGGGAGACAGGGAGGAGAAGGGGGAGCAGGAGGAGCGGGAGGAGGAGGAGCAGGGGTGATAGGTGGGGCTGCGGCACTGGCAGCGCAGGTTACGAGAGGAATTACGGCTGGGGCAAAGGTGCTGGGCGGAAAGGGGGGTGCGCAGGGAGGGGAGGTGGGGAGGAGTGGGAGTGGCAGGGGTGGTAGTGGCAGGAGTGGGAGTGGCAGGGGGGGTAGTGGCCGTTCGGGAGGCAGCCTTCGGATAATGGAGAGTGAGAGTATGAAGAGGTGGTTGCAGTACTTTGCAGGGGGTGGTGGTGCGAGTAGGAGAGACACTGAGAGCTTTGAGGAGATTATGCCTAGCAGTACACTGCAAAGCTCAGGGAGAGACTGGAATAGTGGAGCAGGGTCGGAAGTGTTTGCGCGATAGTAACATATGTAGTGTAATGTCTTGATGCGAATTGAGATTTTGAGACATGTCTTGGGAAATTAGCCATGGCTACCATATGTATATATAGAACAGAGTTTAGAGCTGTTTCCAGTGGTGTTTCTCTGCAGCATACAGGATGTTAATCAGACGACCTTTGCAGGATCCTCAAGATTGATTGCGCATTATACCGTAACAAAGGGAAATATCTTGACGTTTACTACAAACGGAAATGTGTGTGTACGTATCCAGGCTGAGGAGGTGACAAAACATGTCCGATTAATAATACCCGCTAAGAAAAAATACCAAACCGCGCAGAACCATTCAAAACTCAAATCTTGCGAGCACTAGACCTCGTGGAACTGTACTCAACAGTCGTGCCGCGTCGCAGCACCGCGTCGCGGCACAGACGGACTTTAGCAGGAGAGAAGCGACACGACGCATCGCGTGTGATCCGAGTTGATTCACCACTTCGTGACGCCATTTCTTGATTTTTCACCGTCCGAGGAGTCGATGCCATGGCCCCGCGATTCGCGCCTCTCCTCGTTCTCCTGTCCTTCCTCCCCCTCGTGCTCGCGCATCCCATCCGCCTGCCATCCGCACCTTGCGCCGCGCGGATCGCGGAAGAGCCTCGAGGAGCGCACCGCGTGCTGCGCACGTCGCTCCACGTGGCATGCCGCGCCGATGTGCTCCATCCACGCCATCGAGGCGGTGCACACGTTGCGTGCGGAGAAGCGCCCGTTACTAGAACGGGGAGCCGCTGCTATAATGGGAATGAGGGAGAGACGAAAGGAGGGAGAACGGACGGTGGAGAGGAGGAGCGGCCGACAGATGGGTGCAGAGCGGTTCCAGAGCTCAGTAGCTGCACTGCTGCTTTTGAACGCATGGGAAGCAGTGGGGCGGCAGGGAGGACACGTGTCACGATACGATTGGAGCAGCCCATGCCACGTGGGCTGTACGCAGATTTGTTTGAGCGGGAGCGAATCCTGCTACCAAATGAGGGGAGGGGGAGGGGGAGCGGGAGGGGGAGCGGGAGGGGGAGCGGGAGGGGGAGCGGGAGGGGGAGCGGGAGGGGTTTTGTATGGCCAGTCTAGCCGGAGCTGAATCGAATCCTGCGACCCAGTGAGGGGCGGGGGCGGGGGAGGGAGGGTTCGTGCGCGCGTGAAAGGGGGAGTGCCCAGAGAGGAAGGGGGCGTGAAGGGCAGAGGACGCAGAATGGGGGGGGAATGCGCAGTGAAGGGGGAAAGGAGGGCGCAGTGAAGAGTGGGGGGAGGGCGCAGTGAGACAGTTACCGCCAGTAATCATGATGTGATTACTGCTGTTTGCACCTGATGTGATTGCTGCTGTTGCACATGATGGTTTTTCATTTTTGCACTTGATCATGATGGTTTTTATTCTGCTGTTCCCTTCTCTTCTTCGTCTTCTCTCTCCTCCCCCCCTCCCTCCCTCCCTCCCTCCCTCCCTCCCTCCCTCCCTCCCTCCCTCCCTCCCTCCCTCACTCCCTCCCTCCCCTCCCAAACTCCCTCCCACCCACCCTCCCTCCTCCCTCCCTCCCTCCCTCCCTCCCTCCCTCCCTCCCTCCCTCCCTCCCTCCCTCCCTCCCTCCCTCCTCCCTCCCTCCCTCCCTCCCTCCCTCCCTCCCTCCCTCCCTCCCTCCCTCCCTCCCTCCCTCCCTCCCTCCCACCTTCCCCCGTTTCCCCTTCTCCCTGATTGCCCACCTGCCTTCCGAGCCAGAGGGCGACCGAGCCTGACGGCGACCGAGCCTGAGTGGCGGGTCCGGTGGAGCTGGAGCAGCCGGCGCCACGGTGTGAAGCAACGGTGGCACTGATGGAAAGGGACGTGCCAGTGGGTGTGGGGTAGGGGGAGCGGGAGGGAAACGTGCACGTGGGGGAGCAAGAGGGAGAAGATGAAGTTGCTTTTTCAGTGGAGTTCAGCTTGCCTCTGCACTCTCAATACCCGGTAACCACGCTCGATACCCGGTAACCACTCTCGATTCCCGGTAACCACTCTCTCTTCCTTAGGCCCTCATTGTTCCGTAATCACATGCTAAATCTCAGCTACTCGTGTTCTGTAACCTCCCACTACTGACCACTTTATCCTATTCTGCAACACTGTCTGTTTTGTACATAGTATTCCTGGGACCGCTTCTTTTCTGTGACCACTCCTCCAGTTATCACATCTATTTGCATCGTGCAACAGATCTTATAACTTTAAAGCAACCCTTTTGACAATCAACTGCCCAACCTGTTACTGCTCCCCTTTCCAGTTATCACGCTTTTGATTTCAGAGGTGCCAAACCTCTCCAATGCATATTCCACCGTTGCCCTTGTTGTGATGTTTTTATGCCATCCCTCACTGCATTTGCTCTCTTTTCGTCTTTTGATTAAGCACTGCAAAGCACTTATCATTGTCCGACAATCTGCAGGGGCACAATGGTGCACTTGCTCGTTGGGAGTCACCCCATTTGAGAATTCTCAAAAGTGACTCCCAAATCTGCAGGTGCACAAACGTCCACTTGCTCGCTTAGGGAACTCCACTCACCATGAATCCCCGTCCTCATCTTTCCCTTGTCCCAGCTCTCTTCCCCCATCTCTCTCTCTCTCCCCGCCACCCTCACTCCAAGCTGCAGCCAATCACACGCTGCGGTTCATGTGCCCTTGCCTTCCGCATGCCTCGTGCTGCCTCCTCCCCCGACCTGCTCGGGACCATCCGCCCTGCACCCATCAACACCATCTTCTCCAGCACCAGCGCTGGCATCTTCATCAGCTGCAGCAGCATCAGAATCCCCATCATCATCAGCAGCATCATCATCAGCAGCGGCATCACCTTTATCAGTCTGTGATGCCATCGCCACACCCAGCTGCGAGTGCCTTCCCATGCAGCTGACATGGACTTCACAACCAGCACCTGCAGATGGGGAAACGGACAGGTCTGGGGGAGCAGCAAGACCAGGAGGAGACTCGGAGGGAGACGAAGCAGAGCAAAGGCATGAGGAGGTGAGGAGGGAGATGGAGGAGGAGGGGGCGTTGGTATGGGAGGTGCCGGCGGGGTGTGCTGGCCACACGCCCCTGGTGCTGTGGGGTACGTCCCTAGCTGCTGCTGTGGGGGCTCTGGTGCTTGTTGCCGTGGCTGCTGCTGCTCCCGTGCACACAGCAGGCACCAAGGCCAGGAGATGAGGTGTGAAACTAGTGTTCGAACGAAGCTCAACTGCTCTAGTGCACACAGCAGGCGGCAAGGCCAGCAGTTGATTCCTCCTAGCACAGGAAGCATCACCTTCATCACATACGGCAGTTGAATGAATTTGTGTATGCTTATGGTGTGTACGTAGTTTTTTTCCCATAATCAAACACTCGTTCTTGCCTTAATTCCCTACCACGGTTCTGAAGTACACATGTTCCTTAACACACTATTTTATTGAATATATTAATGAGCCTAACACAAGAAGAGCCATAACTATCTCCAACTGGCAGACGTCTAGACCAGAGCCATCGCCATCCCTTGGGGAGCGCTCCAGGCCAGAGCCATCCCTTGGGGAGCGCTCCAGGCCAGAGCCATCCCTTGGGGAGCGCTCCAGGCCAGAGCCATCCCTTGGGGAGCGCTCCAGGCCAGAGCCATCCCTTGGGGAGCGCTCCAGGCCAGAGCCATCCCTTGGGGAGCGCTCCAGGCCAGAGCCATCCCTTGGGGAGCGCTCCAGGCCAGAGCCATCCCTTGGGGAGCGCTCCAGGCCAGAGCCATCCCTTGGGGAGCGCTCCAGGCCAGAGCCATCCCTTGGGGAGCGCTCCAGGCCAGAGCCATCCCTTGGGGAGCGCTCCAGGCCAGAGCCATCCCTTGGGGAGCGCTCGAGGCCCTTCAAGTGAATCCTGGGCTTGATTCCAACCTGGAAGGGAGAACTCAAGCCAGAGCCACAGGTGAATGGCAGCAGATGATTATCCTTGCACCCCCACCAGTTTCCCAACCCACTCTCCTGAACACCCTGACAAGCAGGGTGCAAAAATGGGACCCACCATCATACCACTTCCCCAACCTCCCAACCACCATCCCACTGCTGCAATCTGCTCGAGGCTCTGCTTCTGTGCTCTCCACCTTCATCCCGCTGGAGTATGCCTTTTCTGCTTCTCATATGACCTTTTTTTTTTCAATGCTTTTTTATTATGTGTTTTTTTTTCCTGTTTTTTTTTTTCCCCATGAAGAAGTAAGGTCCCTGTTCCCACTCCCATATCCCCCCTGAGCTTGCAGCGATCCAAAGCGGCGCTTATGGCCGCCACGGACGACGTGAGCTCGCAGCCAGCCCCACCTTGGACGATCCGCCACGAAGCTTCCGTGCAGCCGTGGGGATGACGGCAGTCGCTAGCTCATCCTGCTGCTTCGTGTCGTTGGAACACCGTCTGCTTCGCACCTGCCTCTCAGCTACAGCGGCTCCCGCGGGTCGCGGAATCAACGTCGTTCCCTCAGCGCGGGTTTTCACAATCGATCTCTGACCACTTGGTTTCGGGATGCGAGATGGCAGCAGGTGTGCCGTAGGTACTGAGCGTGTCGTTGCATTTCTCAAGCCAGCTGCCACGGCCTTCTGCGATGTTGCAGATTCCGAGATCACCGGCTTGAACGTCAGCGGTTTCGACATCATCAGGTTCGAAGTTACCGGTTCCGACGTCATCGGTTCGAACATCACTTGTTCCGACGTCACAGCTGGTACGGACGCCACCGGATCTGAGGATGACGAAGCGGACGCCGTCGGATCCCATGTCGCCGAATCGTGCGACTCAACCATTAGCGATGCAGCAGCGTCGATAAGACAGGCGTCGCTGCGGCTGGCGTCGCCAACGCTCTCAGTGCTGGTGTCAGCGCAGGAGAGCATCGCGTTGCTGGCCTCGCTGCAGCACGACGTCAGGCTGAGGCTGCTAACCTGGCGGAGTTTGCTCGCGTTCGAGGAGCTCCGAGGCTGCAGCGATGGCTGCGTAGGCTTGTTGCTATCGAGGCACTTCCAGAAGCTAAAAGCGTTGTTAAAGTACGTAGGGTAGTCAGACTCTGAGGCCATAGTGCGAATTCCTCACGAGGCGATCAAACGTTGAAAGATGATCTTTATGCTAGAACCGATAGAATGCGCAAGCCGATGATTGCAGATTTGTAGGCACTGTCGAGCCGAGTAGGGGAATGGAGGTGATGGAAATGAAAAGGGTCACCTCCCATCTGAGGAGGAGTTGGGCTGCTCAGGCTCGGAACTGGGCTGGTCAGGCTCGGGAGCGAGAATGGCGCAAGGTGTTCTCGAGACCCTGGCCTGCCCAACTTTGAGCTCATTAACCCACGGAAAAATCCGTGCGGCTGCCCGAGTTCGAGTTATCGACCCGCGCTGCTGCCGCAGCAACAATCCTCGCCGGGAATCAAGCCCACGAGAATTTCGGGTTACTGGCCACAGAGATTTCAGAGATTGCCCTGAACAATGTTTGAGTGGAAACTGTTCTGACCACGGCAGGATTCGGCGAAATTTGAGCTCGCAATGAGCGACAATCTCGGGGGAAGCCAGTCAACACCATACTCACCACCTTTTTAAATCTATATACCGGACTAGATCTTCCTAAATTTTGTTACCCCGAAAGCTTCGCATATGAAGCTTGGGGCTGAACTTTGGTGCCGAACCTCCTCACCTTGCCACTGCGCGAAAACCAAAATCATGTTTAGAGGTTCTGGATTACCGTAGTGTTGCTACACTCGTCCACTTATTTCGATCAGTGTAGGCAATATGATGGATGTATGTAATGGGTCTCATCTCTCTTTATCAGATGCTAGCTTGCAACCAATATTGCATATTACTATTTATTGATTAAATGTCAAGGTTGGGTCCAACTACCAGGATTGTTACAATCTGAAAAGTGACTTAGCGAAGAGGATCGTTCAGGGTTGATCGCGGGTAGTGTCGCAGCGGAAGTAGTGAACTCAGGTCAGAGTGAATGTAAATGACTGAGATTGATAATAGCATGCATACATTGGGTTTATATAGAAATACAAAGGAATGCGAAACGACCTAGACTAGCCATGTACTCTAAGGGGTACATTCCCTTATTGCAGCGAAATTTAAACCGTGCGGCGCGGGAATCAGTTTCAAACCTGTTCCCGCTCTTTTCACTTCAAATGCTTCTGCCTGCATCGGTCTTAGTCAGACGGTTGCTGTGTCGCTTCGACTCTTCTGACTCCTCGACTTCGTACTCGGTAGAGTCGGCTCCTGCAGCATACAGGAATGCCTTCTCATAAAGCTTCATATCGTAACACTCCCCTTCATTCCTGGACGCGAGGGGTGCTGACTCGCTTGA